AAAAGACCTAAAACGTGGTAGTTCCAAGTTCTTTCGATATCCCTTTTATATATAATAGTATAGATTTTTATTTTTTTTATGGAATAGATGATGAAAGTTATAACAATCGTCATTTTCTTATAAAATTAAATAATTCATCATAAAATAATTAATAACAACAAATGCAATAATTTTATAATAACAAACTATCATATGATTTAAAAGAGTATATAGTATATTGATGCCATAAATTGATGTTTGAGATGTAGAGATTAACTACAAACAGAAAAACTCACAAAAAAGATAATTCACAAGAATTTGAATAATAACAAAATATGATTATTGGATTAAAATGGATAAAAGTTCACCACTAATACTAGAAACTAAGGGATACAGAAACATCACCCTAAGAATTCTAATCAAGGATAAGGATAATAAAAGTTCACCACTCTAAAAAATTAACCTAAGAGATACATAACTTAAAGAACAATCTAAATGATTGCTTAAGGACAAAGAAAACTCTATTTTGCCTTTTACCAAAGAATAATGGAAAATATATAGGCTAGGAACATCCTTCCAAGCATGAAAACTTTAAGATTGCATTGTTAAATTATGAGATTTACATGTGAACATAATATGCCTATTTACTCCTGAACCTGACCATAATCCATTCATATTCATGATCTTCTTTTTCAACTAGTGTGAATGTAATCTTTCTATTTCAGCCCATCTTATTTATGTATTTATTTAGTGGATTTGGATCAAGATAGGTCTATCTTATTTTTAGATAAGTTTGCCTTAGTCTCAGCCCAAGTTGTATGATGTGTAGACACTCCAGTGTCAATCTCATCTGGTTAGAAAAGATTTATCTTCAAATCTAAACTAGTATTCTCGTCATAGTAAGGTCATAAATTAGTAACATTGAAGGTGAAAGATACTTCATAAGTGTCAAAAAATTTTATCTTGTAGGCATTATTCTCAATACATTAGAGAATTTTGAATGGTCTATCCACCTTAGATTGTAATTTGCCAAATTTTCTTAGAGAAAATCTTTTTTTTTTCACAAGTTAATCCATATCAAATCATGCTCTTTAAACTTCACATGTCTTCGATGCATGATTATTGCCTTTTTATGTTTTTTATTTTTTTATAAAATTTTATTTCGAACATGTTCATGAAATATTTTGATACTTTTGGCATTTTTTTTAGATCTCCATCAAAATGTTGGTTAGTAGAGAAAAAAACTAAATTTAGAGGACTGATTGGATTCTTACCATATACCATCTTAAAAGGACTGCAATCAGTGGTTTGGTTTGGTAAGCGATTGTAGACAAACTCTATTTAAGATAAAATGAGATCCCACTGTTTAATATTCTTTCTTATGAAAAAAAAGAACCAAACACCTCTTGCAAACCTTGATTTCATTTTTTTTTTTGCAGCCAAGATAACTTATATAGTTAGAGGTGATCCACTGTTTTAAGGCTTAATTTCTGCACTATAAAAGTAGAAACAACATTTTTAAAACTTTTACAATCAATTATAATATCATATACCTTATCATGAGTATGCTTTTAGTGCAAAATTTATTCTTGTGCAACCAGTCTCTTTTCTCTACATGTACATCACTCAAGCTGTATTGTATATCAAGTGAAGATTCAAGATCACCGTAGTCTCCTTAACACCTTGTTCAAGATCTTAGGATACTTTAATAGTTTTCCTTCAGTATTTTTAAGATCTTCATCTTCAACCAACGTAACTATCTTGAGATTTGGATACTCATAATGTATATGCCTAACTCTTTGGCACTTAAAGTCTTTTTGGGTTTGATTGTTGACAACACTAGATTATGGTTTGTTAGGAATGGTTATTTTCTCCTTTAGGTGTAGATTTGAAGGGGGTTTGATAGAAACATTGGTCTTGGACATGCTTTCCTTGTTAATGTATTCTTTTATTAAAAAATCCTTTTGCTTCAAGTTATGGAGCCTAAGGAAGACGTCTTGCTAAAAGTTGTCTGAAAGATACTTTCTTTTAACTCTCTTTCATCTTCTTTCAAGTTACAATTTTTCTCTTACTTTCTCGTTTCCTTTACTTCTTTAGATTTTTTCACCAAAAGAATACATACTTTCTGAGTTTGATGGCTACTAGCTTCACCTTATGATGGTCAGAGACATCATAGTATTCAAATATGTGTTTCACTGTGTGCAACCAATTTAAGAATTTTTCAGGTTGCATCTTTTCCTCGAACTCAAAAATTTTTATCTTCGAATTGAATATGCTAAGATAAAGTTGGTTTCTACGTAAATAATCATTACTTGTCGTGGGTGAGATAGGATGTTATCATCAGAATCGCTGTTGTTTTCACGGTATGGATTGGTTTCTCCTTCACCTTTTTTCGTTCCTCATTCATTGCTTCTTTATCTCTTCTCTCTCTTTTTATATATGCAGTCGATGTTGTAATTGAAGGATCTGTTACCGCATCTCTTCTATGAAGGGTTTCCTTGTGTCAACATTGATAGTTGCTACAACATCGATGTTGGCTTCAACCTCTTCTGTTGGTGCTTGACGACGATGATCTACCATAGCTCTAATACCAATTTAATGTTAAAAATTAATGATTGAGATGTTGAAGAGTATCTGCAAACAAAAAACTTATAAAAAAGATAACTCATAAGAATTTGAATAATGACAAAATATGATTATTGGATTAAAAAAGATAAAAGTTCACCACAAAGACTAGAAACTAAGAGATACAAAAATATCACCCTAAGAATTTTAATCAAAGATACAAAACAATAGAAGTTCACCACTATAAGAAATTCACCTAAGAGATACAGAACTTGAAAAACAATCTAGAAAATTGTTTAAAGACAAAGAAAACTCTATTCTGCCTTTTGCCAAAGAATAATGGAACATATATAGGTTAGGAATATCCCTCCAAGCATGAAAACTTTCAAATTGTATTGCTAAAATCATGCCTAAAATCATGAGATTTTACATGTGAACATAATCTATCCATTTACCCCTGAACTTGACCACAATTTCATTCATATTCATGATCTTCTTTTTCAGCTAGTGTGAACGCAATATTCCTATTCGGCCCACTTTATTTATGTATTTATTTAGTGGATTTGGACCAAGGATAAACCTATCTTATTTTTGGATAAGTCTGCCTTAGTCTTAGCCCAAGTTGTATGATATGCAGACACTCCGGTGTCATATATATTATATTTATCTTTTCAACTACCAAAACACAACAATTTTATCAACAAAAGTATTAAAATATTTAAAAACAATCAACTTAATGATGAATTATGTTTAAGTTTTAGCTAGAGAATCAAAAAATGAATAAAAATGTAAAGGAGAAATGCTAAAAAGTTTGATAAAACATTAATCAAAATAGTTTGATCGAATGTGAGATATTAAATTTTTTATTTTAAAATTAATTTATATTATTCAAATATTATATTATTATTTCTATCGATTTATTCATGTGTTAATAAATATATTATGAAAATGTCAAATAAATTAATTTATGATTGTCACATATTATTTATGTGTCATCAAAGATAAGGGTATAAATGATACACAAGTGCCCGCAAGCTATTCAAGTTCGATTTGGACAAAACTCGAATTTGACTCGATCATCAAGCGAGTCAAGTTTGAGCATCCTAATGTTCAGCTTAAGTAGCTCGCAAACCTAACCTAGCTTTTATATGTTAATATATTTTTTTTATTATTTCAATTAAAAAATTACTATTTTTATTTTATATAACAATTCGAGGTCGAAAACAGTTAATCGAGTTTGAAGTCGAGCATAAGAATTAAGCTCATTTTTGTTCGGTAAACAAGTCTGATCGAGCAAGTTTTAATTGCTTGATTTTTATCTTAAGTCGAGTTCAGAATTAAAAATTAAAATTCTATTAAGCTTGAGCTAAGTATCGACTATCAAGTTTAGTTTGAACTCAAGTTTTTTACTGTATTTACTCGATTTGATTACATCCTTAGTCATAGATAATATTATAAAAAAATTATTAGATAATCTTACATTCCATAAATCAAAACAAAAACCTTATATTCCATAAGATCAACAAAACATCAAAATCACTTACTCTCCCAAAATTTAAAAATTTGCAAACCAAACATCCTTTACTACTACTTTATTAAAAATACAATTGCCATAGAAGACTGGCTAATGGCTATTGAACTTGGCTCATCGTGAAGTAGTCTTTTTCATAGTACCAAAATTATTGAATGGTTATCATTAAATGCTAGCCTAATCCCAACCCATCTTATTTTATTCACAATTTGCATTTAGTATAGAGCTACATAGGTATAACCATATATTTGGGTTATTATACATAATGTTACAAGATTTGTGTGATGAGACATTATTCCAATGATAATCATATTCCGCTTGATTGAGAAAACGAGAAACTCAAAATTTTTTGTACACTACAATAAGAAGAAGCAACCAAACAAACTTTTGTACCTTACCTTGACAAGAAGTCAAGAGTTATTGTATTTGTATAATGGAAAAGAATTTTCTCCACATGTAGGATGCCATAAATTCTTCTCCTTTCAAAGGTACCCATTTCTTTCATGGTGATAAAAGAGAAGGGTGAGCTCATTTCTCATTTGTATATTGAAGTTAAGAATCCCATACCACAAAAAGCAACATTTAGGTGAATTCCAATTTAAAGAAAATTATAATTGAACTAAAATATGGAAACCCATTACTATAACCATAGAAAATCCCGAGGAACTAACCCAACATTTACTCTTTGAATAGTTATAACCTATAATAAAGATGAATTTAAATTTTAAGTCAATTGATTTATTTAATTTTTTAAAAAAATAACTTTTAGTAAATTTAAATTTTAAATTTTAATTTTAACGGAATATGATTTAGGACATAGTAGCGTCGGTAGTTTGATCACATTCTCATTACTGTTCATTAATGAAGATGAAAACTTTAATCAAAATTTTTTTTTCATTAGATCAAAAACAACTGTGTTTTTTCATGCACGAGCACAAAGCTTTAAACTTTACCTATGGGTTTTGTTTTGGATGGGATCCCTTTCGAAAAGTACACAGTTTTCCGTACTCAAAGCTGTACAGGTGTCCATGCGAGATGCCTTAACTAAGGCCCGAAAGTGAGATAAAGTAAGAAAGAAAACGAAGAGAAAGAGAAAGAGAGAGTGGTTCATGTGATGTTGGGTGCTTGAGTTGAGCTACTTCTTTTTGGCTGTTGATTAGATTTTGTTTTAGTGTTGTTTGTTTCAGTTGTCTTCACTATCAAGGCCTATCAAAGCCAACAAAGAAGAAAAAAAAAAAAAACTGAGGAAAGTGGTCGTCTTGGAGTCTGGTTTTTCAGCTTTAAGGGAATAAATGATGAGGTTTCATCACCGGAGTCATTGTTATCATCCTCTTAGACGAGAAACAATTGCTGGGTTATTTTTGTTGCTTTTCCCAGTTTTTTTGCCTTGTTTGTTTACTCCATTCAGCCATGCCTCCCCTTCTACATTCTCGGTATGTTCCTATATACTTTTGTGCTTTGCGGAAAAGTCTTTATTTTTTTTTTCAATTGAAAATGCGTTCTCGGTTCTAATTTCCTTTGTGGAAAATTCATGGAAATGAGAAATGTGAAGTTTGAGCTTGCTGTTTACTAAAAATGGAAAGTAAGGATTAGTTTGAGTTTATTTTGCCGACAGAAGTTTCTGGCTAAGTGGCAAGCTTATGTAGGTAAGTGTCTAATAATCAGATTGCTTTATAAAAAATGATGCCAACCAGGACTTTTTGTCTTGGCAATATATATAGTTAGTTTGCTTCAACTGGAAAATTGAAAATGATGGCCAGTAATTCAACTTTTCTTCCATTCTTGTAAATTTCTTTAGCCTTTGCTAGTTTTGGAGTTCTTTTGGTTAATTAAATATATTTGCCCACAAATTTGACAAAAATAGAAAAGTTGTTGTAACAGTAACACCAATACATTTGTTAGTCTGTACTCTGGAGGGTGCATTCCCACATTAATCAATTGGTAATGGGATTTTGCGCATGGAAATGAGGTTGGAGCCTAGTACATAGGCCAGGAAAGAAGGTAAAATCATCCGTGTAGTCATTTGTGCTGACTTCTGAGTGTTAGCATTATCAATGCTCATAATTTGCTCCTTGGGAAGGAAATAAACTTCAACTATCTAGTTAGGAAAGGAATTTGACCAATTGTTCCCTTTGATGTTTGTTGCAGGAGTGGAACGTTCCTAAACCTAAACATTTACCTTTACTCAGGAGTGCCTTACAGCGTGAAAGTGTGAGTAGATGTTTGTTACGCAGTATCTGAGTGCGTGTGTGTCTGCACATGTATATGTTGGGATTTTCCTTCTCTAACTGCATTCTGACTTGTAATTTACTATTTGATTTACTTCCATGTTCCTATTCAGTCCAATGGAGAGCTGTCTGATCTCTGGGCTCCTTTGGCTGACCACGGGTGGAGACCATGTCTTAGATCTGTAAATGCCCCTTGTAAGTGATCAGCAATGAGATTTTTAGTTTTGGCTTCTTTATATTGTTAGTATTCCAGGTTATGAGACTCAACTTGTGGTATTAATGATTTTAAACTATTATTTCCCGATCATAATACTTACTTTTCTTGGATTTTGCTCTTTGATTACTTTAAGCAGCATTGCCACAGAAACCTGAAGGATTTCTTCAGGTATTTCTTGATGGGGGACTCAACCAGCAAAGAATGGGGGTAGGTATTTATTTGCATTTTACATTCTTAGAGGAGTCAAGAATTACAAAACATTCAATAATTCTATTTCTCCGGATTAAATATTTTAGTCACTTGTTTGCTCTGGAAAAGCAGTCAGTATGATATTAAATTCCTTTTTATGTAGATATGTGATGCTGTTGCTGTTGCTAAAATACTGAATGCGACACTTGTGATTCCACATCTTGAAGTAAATCCTGTTTGGCAAGATTCAAGGTATTTTTGTGTAGAAGGAAATTATCCTTTCCATTTCTTATTCCAAGTGGAAATGTCTAGTTTTTGCGGTTTTAAGGAGGCTTTTTTCTGAAGTAATTATTTTCCCTGCAGCTCATTCATCGATATATTTGATGTGGATCACTTTATTAATGTATTGAAGGATGACATTTCAATTGTCAAAGAGCTGCCTGATGAATTCTCTTGGAGCACGAGGGAGTATTATGCCACTGCTATTCGAGCCACCAGAATTAAAAGAGCACCTGTTCATGCATCTGCAAACTGGTATCTTGACAATGTCTTGCCTGTACTACAGAGGTTGGTAGCAACTTGTACCTTTTGATTTGAATACACAGTTTAGTTGCTTTTAAAATTTTTGGGCCTAAGGACTTTTTTGTACCATATCAAGTACTCTCTCATGTCTTTTCCTGTCATGGGGGCACTAAACATAAATATGCATAGTATCATGGACTAAACTTTCTCTCAACAAACATTAGCCCGTGCGACATTTGAATGGACGCTTTCACCTAAGTCAACCTTCAATAGATCGATATCTGAACAAATAATCATAAACTATAGTTAGTCTCAAGCATTCATAATAAGACACAATATATCGAGGTCAATCTCAAGCATACACACACAACAAGGCACATTCACATCGAGAAAGAAAAAAACGCATCGAGGCAACAATCGGGCATTCAATCGGGGTGAATTTTATTATAAACGGAAATCATACATCGGGACCTCCCACCATTACCAGGGCAGGGGGCAGCCCTTGGTGGGTGGCCTAAGCTCGCATAGCACCCGGTGAGACAGCCCAACACTACGCTGTCGGCTCACCCCCCTAAAGAGCCTTAGAGCTTTTAGAGCTATGCTACCAGTAACCGTTACAATGTTTGAAATGGGGACACTTTTCCTAGCACAAGGGATCTACCCGGCCATGGCCCTATATATGGGTGGCTCATGGCAACCTAAGTCCCGGTCATGGCCCTATACAAGGGTAGCTCATGACATCCTTCCCCACCTATTCTATAGACGTCCTCGTCGACTTGCTGGCTTGAAATTCTTCAATCTTCCTTTGAAATCTCTGAAGGTCGTGTTCTCTTTCCCAGCTGATTTTTTCTAGTCCTAAGCCCTCCCACTTTACTAAGTATTCCCGAAGTAGTCTTCGAGATATCTTGGTTTTCCTGTCGGCTAAGATCTTTTCTACTCGATGCTCTGAGGGTGGCTTCATGGTGATGGCGGCTCTAGTTGGCTCCCTTCGGCTAATATCTGTAGGATCTGTATGGAAAGGCTTCAGGTTGCTTACATGAAATACTGGGTGCACCTTCATCCACTTCGGTGGGTCGATTTTGTAAGAAGCGTTCCCCACCTTGAAAATAACCCTTACTGGACCTTCATATTTGCGCACCAGTCTACGATTTCTCTTTCTTAAGAACCTGGTTTGTTCTGGAACTAGCCGGACCAGAACCAAATCACCAACTTGGAATTGCTGAGCTCTGCGATTCTTGTCTGCCCATTTCTTCATCCGCTTTGATGCTTTCTCCAGGTAAGCTTGTGCAATCTCTGTGTTTTGTTTCCACTCATTGCTGAAGTTGAAAGCTCTCGGATTCTTTCCTCCATATTGTTCCAAGGAAGTGTGGGGTAGCCTTGGTAGTTGTCCGGTGACCACCTCAAAAGGGTGGAAGAGTTTTTGTTGGAATTAAAGCAGAGTTGAGCAACGTCCAACAATGAAGGCCAGTCCTTTTGGTTGGCTTGGACAAAGTGCCTCAAATATTCCTCTAACAATCCATTGAAACATTTCGTTTGGTCATCTGTCTGAGGATGGTAGCTCGAAGAGATGTTGAATTGGGACCCCAAAATCTTAGTTCCCTCCAAAAGGACCCCGTGAATCTCGGATCTCTATCGCTGACAATGTTTTGAGGGAGGCCCCAATATTTGATCACATGTTTGAACAATAGTCGAGCTGTGTCTTCTGCTGTACAATACTTGTGAGCAGGGATGAATGTGGCATACTTGGAGAACCGGTCAATTACCACCAAGATAGTTCCAAGATCACCAACCTTGGGTAGGCTCGAAATGAAATCAAGGGAGATGCTTTCCCACGGTTTGGTGGGTACCGGTAATGGTTCCAGCATGCCCGCAGGTTTCCTCTTTTCGACTTTGTCTTGTTGGCAAAGGAGGTAAGTCTTCGTGTAGTCCATCACATCTTGTCGCATGTGAGGCCAATAGTATCCCTGTTTCAGTAACGCTAAAGTGCGTTGCCAACCTGGGTGTCTCGCCCATGGGGTGTCATGGCATTCCCTCATCAGCATCTGTCTCAGCCCTCCTGCTCTCGACATAAACACTCGAGGCCCCTTGGTCCACAAGACCTCATTTTCTTGCCAAAAGTATTTGGACTTCCCTTCTTCCACTAGCTTCAAGATGGCACAGGCTTACGAGTCCTTCCCTAGATGATCTCCAATCAACTTATGAATGTCCGTAGTGGCTCTACTAGTTGCCAATTGGGGCCATTCTTCTGAGGGCCGCCAACTCTGGTCGCCTGCTTAATGCATCCACCACTTGATTGGTCTTTCCAGCGGTATGCTCAAAATAAAAGTCGAACTCCGTTAAAAATTCCTGCCACCTAGCTTGTTTCGCCGTAAGCCTTGGTTGGGTCAAAAAATGGCTAACGGCTGCATTGTCCGTCTTCACGACAAAGTGTGAACCCAACAAGTAATGTCGCCAAGCCCTCAAGCAATGAACCACTGCCAAAAGCTCTTTTTCCTGGGCCGTATATTTCCTCTCCGCTTCGCTTAGCTTCCTATTTTCAAATGCTATCAGGTGATGTTGTTGTAAAAGCACATATCCAATAGCAAAATCAGATGCATCCGTCTGAACTTTAAAAGGCTTTTCAATATCGGAGAGAGATAAGATGAGATCTTTCATAATAGCATCTTTCAAACTTTCAAAGGCCTGTTTTTTCTTCAATAACTCTGTAAGGACCGTGGTCTTGCGAGAGTACCCTTCCACAAACCTTCTATAATAGTTGGCTAGTCCCAAAAAAGAACGGAGTTCACTAAAATTCTTTGGTGTTGTCCGCTCCTTGATGGCCCTAACTTTTTCCATGTCCATTCGAATATGGCCACGTTCGACAATGTGATCGAGGAAGTGGATTTGGGTCTGAGCAAATGCGCATTTCTCCTTTTTTACATATAACCGGTGGTCCTATAGCCTTTTAAATACCCGATGTAGGTGTTCTTGATGTTCTTCCAAGGTGGAGCTGTACACCACTATATCGTCCAAATAAATGACTACAAATTTATCAAGGTAGTCATGGAACACCTGATTCATCAATGTGCAAAATATGGCAGGAGCATTGGTCAGTCCAAAGGGCATAACAAGAAATTCAAATGCGCCATACCGTGTTATACAAGTGATCTTTGGCTCATCTCCCTCAACGATTCTGATTTGATGGTATCCAGATCTCAGGTCCAGTTTGGAAAAGTACTTGGCCCGACTCAATTGATCAAACAAGTCTGCTATAAGCGGGATAGGATATTTGTTTCTTACGGTGACTTTGTTCAGGGCCCTGTAGTCAACACATAAGCGTAAACTCCCATCATGCTTCTTCTAAAATAGCACTGGCGCTCCGAAAGGAGCCTTTGATGGTCGGATGAACCCGACTTGTAGAAGCTCATCTAACTGTTTTCTCAGCTCGGCCAATTTTGGTGGGGCCATGCGATAGAAAGCTCTAACTGGGGGTTTTGCTCCTAAGAGGAGCTCAATTTCATGGTCCACTGCTCATCGAGGGGTAGAACCTTGGGCAACATCTTTGGCATCACCTCTTCGAATTCTTCCAACACTCTCTTCACGCCATCGGGTATTGGTTCTACTTTCGACCCTTCTTTGTAGATCGGCATGGCCACAAAAGAGGGTTCCCCTCTCTTTACCCCTTTCTTGAATTGCAAAGCCGAAATCATTTTCTTCCCACTCTTTGGCAAGATATTGGCTGGCACCACACATGGGTGTTCCCTTAAAAAAAACAAGCAGCTAGCAGCGGGGATAGGGATCACCTGAGCCAACGTCATGAAGTCCAATCCGAGAACGACATCAAAGTCATCCATAGGGGAGACTGTGAAGTCTACCTTCCCTTCCCATGGCCCCAATCGGGTTGTCACACTTTTGGAGCTTCCACTGATCGCAAAGGCTGGCGAATTGACCGCCTTCATTCGTCCACAGTCTTTACTAATCTGAAGACCACACCTTTTTGCTTCTTCTGGTGTGATGAAAGTGTCGGTTGCACCCGTATCCACCATGGCCTTGGTGGCTTTCCCATTGATCGTCAAGTTCACATACATCAAGCCTCTACTTTGCTCTTTCTTTATAGTGTTCAATTGGGTGCGGAGGGCACTGAGGAACCTTATTGAGCCCATCCTGGCTGGCTCCTCTTCAGCTTCTTCAACGCTCTCTGGCACTTTTACGGACTCTTGAGATGAGGTCCTTAAGGCATTAAGGGCTCCTCGGTGCGGGCATTCAGCCACTCGATGCGGCCCTTGCAAAGAAAGCAAGCTAGCGGTTGCCTAGGCTTGAAAATCTCCACGTTACTTGTCTTGGGCTGGGTGCTATCTTGCCCAAAAGACCTCCTGTCTGATCCCCACTGAAGGGTCGATCCAACCTAGTCATCTTTTCCCCACTCCCAAAGTTAAAACTGTTGCCCATCATTGTAATCATGAAGACGTTCAGCTGCAGCCATGGCCGTGGCCACATCTTGCACTTTCTGCTTTTATAGTTCTGTCCTCGCCAAAAGCTTGAGGCCCTCAAGAAAACTAGAACTCTTGTCATTTTCGGACATGGTCCCCAAATTATATCCAGCATCAGGGTAAAAAAGTTCCCTTCAACGAACTCTCGCACCGTTTCGATTTGCACCAACTCTCGAAGTCTCCTTCGAGCCATGTACTCCACAATTTTTCGAAAAAATTGGTTTTTCAAATTCTCGCTTCAGATCCGTCCAAGTCTTAATCAGGCACTCGTCATCGAAAACTTGGAGCGGCCACCACAGCTTGGCATCCCCTGCGAGGTTACATCGATGCCATTGTCACCTTGTCCTTCCTCTGAACTTGTGTGTACACTCGAAAGTATTGTTCTATGTCGAAACAAGGAAATTTTCAAGTTCTTTAGCATCCCTTGCCCCTCAATAGCATCAAGGCTCCGGCCACCTTGGGCCTTTGTCCCCTGTCCATCGAGCTCGAACCGAAATCTGGCCACAGCCATTTGTAAGGATACTCACCTGTGCTCTGAACTCCTCAACTCTTTTGGAGAAATGTTCAAGGCATCTCTAGCCTCTTCGCTCACATTGTGGAGAGTATCGGACAACTCCCGCTGGGTTGTCTCGATCTCCCTCACTCGATCTTTCGTCACCATATGAGTTTTCATTGCGGCCACCGCGGCCTCAAGTTCCTCAATTCTCTGTTGATGATCCGGTCCACCACTTGTGGCCATCTCATCCATTTTCTCTAGCACTTCTCAATCGTGCTCTGATACCACGTGTCACGGACTAAGCTTTCTCTCAACAAGCACTAGCCCGTGTGGCACTTGAATGGACGCTTCCACCCAAGTCAGCCTTCAATAGATCGATATCTGAACAAATAACCATAAACCATGGTTAGTCTCAAGCATTCACAATAAGGCACAATATATCGAGGTCAATCTCAAGCATACACACAACAAGGCACATTCACATCGAGAAAGAAAAAAACGCATCGAGGCAACAATCGGGCATTCAACGGGGTGAATTCTATTATAAACGGGAATCATACCATCGGGACCCTCCCACCATCACCAAGGGCCAGGGGGCAGCCCTTGGTGGGTGGCTCTAAGCTCGCAAGCCCCCGGTGAGACAGCCCAACAACTACGCTGCCGACTCCCCCTAAAGAGCCTTATGAGCTTTTAGAGCTATGCTATCAGTAACTGTTACAATGTTTGAAATGGGGACACTTTTCCTAGCACAAGGGATCTACCCGGTCATGGCCCTATGCATGAGTGGCTCATGTCAACCTAAGTCCCGGTCATGGCCCTATACAAGGGTGGCTCATGACACACAGCATGATATGTTCTATTCATCTTCCCCTTTGTAGATATTGCACTTTTATGCATAATGAGACTTGAAATTTGATGCTTTTCTGATTTTAGATTAGTTCTTTTACTTGCCAATTTGTGTGATCTAATAAACATGTTCTATTTTGGTGCAGTTATGGGATTGCTGCCATTTCTCCATTCTCTCACCGTTTGTCTTTTGACAACTTACCGAGTGGGATCCAGCAACTACGTTGTAAAGTCAACTTTAAAGCACTTGTTTTTGTTCCGCACATTAGAGCACTTGGAGATGCCCTTGTCCATCGCCTCAGTTATCCTCCTGGTCAAAGTGAACCGGGTAGCACTAACTATCTCAGGGAGACAACCGATCAAAATGACAAACAAAGGCCGCAGAAATTTGTCGTGTTACACCTTCGGTTTGATAAAGTATAACCTCCTTATACTGTAGATTAAGATACTTGTGTTTTAACCAAGTGGCATCAGTTTTGATATAGGCTTTAGTTTGAAATATAGTTGAGCATATTAAAAAATAAGAACCGTAAATTTTGTACTTGTCTATATACTTGAGCTCTGTTGCACGTAATCCTTAATCTCTATTGTTATGATATCTGTTTCATCTTTTAGACCTCAAACACTGTCAGCCTGCGTAACTTATACATGCAGTGTCCATGGGAAAAGTAAGATGGCCATGCATTGTTAAAGTGATAAGGTTACATGGTTGAAACATCCTTCCTCAACTAGTCCTTTTGACAAGTTTTAAAGATCGGAAGAACTAGTTAACATGTGACTGACCCATTTCATTTAATAGTTTCTCTGCAATTTTTTTGTCACTGGCTTTCTTTCTAACCTTTCTATATGTGCAGGATATGGCTGCCCATTCGGCATGTGATTTCGGTGGAGGTAAAGCTGAAAAATTAGCTCTGGCTAAGTATCGACAAACACTTTGGCAAGGGAGGGTTCTCAATTCTCAGTTTACCGATGAAGAGTTGAGAAGTCAGGGGCGTTGCCCGTTGACTCCTGAAGAAATTGGACTGCTTTTAGCAGCTTTGGGCTTTGACAATAGTACCCGTCTTTATCTTGCCTCCCACAAGGTCATTTGTCTTTGGAATTTTGGTTTTGCAGTGTTACTTCTCTCCCATACCCTTTCCCTCTTAACTTCTTCAAATATGTTGTTCACTTTTTCCACAATATATTCATCAAGTGACTGTATATTTCAGGTATATGGTGGGGAAGCTAGGATTTCCACCCTACGAGAGCTGTTTCCACTGATGGAAGACAAAAAGAGCCTTGCCTCTTCAGAGGAAAGGGTCCGTATAAAAGGAAAGGCTTCTTTGTTAGCTGCAGTTGATTACTATGTTGGTATGCAGAGTGACATCTTTGTCTCAGCTTCTCCAGGAAATATGCACAATGCATTGGTGAGTATTTCTGGCTAATGCATAGGCAGTGCATTCTTTTTATGCAATCTACAGGGTAGTATCACAGATCTAAACCAGGAATTACTTGTAGATACAGAACCTTCAACTTTGCTGCTACACTTTCACTAATGAATAATAAGTGTTCGATTCTCATTGGCTTGAAAATAGAGTGTGCCAATGGATGGTTTTGATGTCCTTATGCTCAAAGTTTGTGTGTTTGCTTGCTTGTTTTAAATTTATTTATTTTGGGAAGTTATAGTTTTAAGGACCTTTGCCGAAATTTACCTTGAAAAAGGCAAGTTTGGAACATATTTTCGAAAGCTGATATGTTGCATAAGTTAATGTTACATATTTCAACCCAATAATGGATGACAATTGCTATGATGCAAACAGGTGGGACATCGAACTTTTGAGAACCGGAAGACCATAAGACCAAATATGGCTTTGTTGGGCCAACTCTTCCTTAACAAAAACATTACTTGGTCAGAATTCCGTGAGGCAGTGGTGGAAGGGCATCAAAACAGACAGGGGCAACTCAGGTTAAGGAAACCAAAACAATCCTTATATACATACCCTTCTCCTGATTGCATGTGCCAAGCTTAGACCCCTAAAGATCATTTATAGATATTATGAAGGAAAGTGAGACTATCTTCTGTATCTATTTGATTTTATTACTGCAACTATTACCATTGGTATCATAAATAAGCAGCAATCCTAATTTCTCCCCTTAGATAAAAGTATCACATCTAGCATTCTTACTAGGTATTGTGCAGTGTAATGATGATGGCATTTATATCGAGAGTGGGGTTGTTAGCATCAAATTTATTGTGAATCCTATTGAGTATGGAGTGGAGTATGTGTCGTATATTTCATTGGCAGGTCTCAATATTGTTTGTTGTATATCTCTGCCAGTGAAGCTGTCTTGTACAACCTTCATGGTGTCAATATTACATAAAACATCAATGCCTTTGGCAAGAAGCTGTCTGTACAACCTTCATGGTGTCAATATTTCTTGGCAGTTGGCAGCATTATATCTAATTCAATATACTGGTAATTGAAGTTATGTACAATCATGAGGCTGTTGTCCTGGTGCCATGGAAGAAACCATTCTTGCAGAAGTAGCTTTATTTTTGTACTTGCAAACTGAATATGGTGTTGCCCCCCGTTGACACTTGAGAGGAAAGAATAACTTTTGCAGGGAACATGGTTATGGACAGCACTTGCTTGATGCTTTGTCCATTCTCGTTAACAAATTTTCCACTGGTTGCACTACAGAAAGATACAGGTTTCAACGAAGATTTGGAGAACGAGTAAACCAAGTCAAAGCTCAAATAGTGGAATCATCAATTGTTGGCCATTTCCCTCATTTTCCCCATTCATGCCTTGTTTCCATCAAATTATTCAGGTGGGTCCAAAAGATCTGATTCCTCTCTGTTAAACTCATTTTTATTGCATGGTGGGTGCATGTTAAATAGAGAGACTTGCACGACCTGAATATCAGTCATGGGACTGCACTGTTTGAACTTTGAAGGCTATGGTCAATAGAGTATCGGATTCATCAACCACAGAAAATTCAAGACAAGAAAAGAAAAAAGGAAAAAAAAAAAAAAAAGGACGCAATTGCGTCGGCAACTTGATGACGGCATGGAAACTGCTCTCCTTCCATGGAGCAGCGACCAGCCTCGCTGTAACATCAAAGAGATCAATTATACAGTGCAACTTAGCAATTGCAGCCCTAGAAGTGAAGGCACCATTTCAATGTGACTGCCCCTCTCAACAATATCAATCATATTTTCTATTTAAAAAGCAATTTTTGAGCAAAGGACCTGACAAATCGCCATGCAGGGCCAGCCTCAAATTGCCATTCAAGCTGATTGATTCTATAATAATCAAAAAGGTAAAACTGAAAAAAAAATGATATACTATCGATGCTTTCAAGAAAAAGGGATTCTACATTTTAGCAACTAATGAATAAAAGAGTGATCAGAAGAAAATATACATATATGGAACAATTTGATGAAATACAGCTCCAACGTTTAGGGGTCAGGAAAAGTGTTAAGATAATTCAAGTCGCTAGCTCTGGGGATCAGTAGTTAGCTTTCAAATACATCACTGATCGTCAGGGGTACTAAGAGTAGGAGAGGACCGAATCTGACCCTCTTTCTTATCCTCAGCAGTGGATCCACTTCCATTCCGGCTAGCAGAAGCCATTTCTTTTGCATCTGCTGCGGATGGAGTCATCCCTTCCTCGATAGGTAGTGTTCTCTTTGAGCCCTCTAATGCAACACCAAGAACTATATTTTCCTCCAAGACAGGTCTTGCCGGTGGCTGAGAGACTGGCAGTTTCTCATTTTCCTGTTTTGATTGGAAAATTTCTTGTAATCCACCTGCTTTCTCAACACCACTTTCCGGTGGGGAAACTGAAGGGTTATCTAACTTGCTGCTTTGCCTAGCAGTTTTCTGTTGCTTGTCAGTGACCTTTTTGTTTGGAGGCAAATTATCAGAGATTGGATCCAGAATTTTTTGGCCAGGTTTAGATATTTCTGCAGCATTAGAACTTTTTTTGGGGACAGATGGTGATTTCACGGTCACTTTATCATCTGTCTTGGGATCAGATGTTGATTCAAATGCAGTCTTCAAGTCCTCCTTAGTGTCAGAATTTGGACTTTCTCCAATCTTGGCTTCTGCTTTGGGTTCAATTGATGGTGACCCTTGGGACTTGGAGTCAGGTTTTGGTGTTGCTCCTGCCTTGTTGTCTGCTTTAGTGTCAACAGTGGGCCGCACTGTGGTTTTACCATCTTGTTCTCCAGCAGGACGTGAGGCACGGCCTTTGTTCTATCTTCACCATTGATCTTGTAAGAGGGTTCAATCAGTAATAAAGGCCTGTTAGATGGCACTCCACCAGTGTTATGCACTGAGTCTGCAAATGGTATATTTTCCAAGTCGGTATCACTATATATTTTCTGCAAAGTGCGAATTGGTGTGGCAAGCCGGGCTTGGTGATGGCCGATGACTCTAAGGAGATCCAAAAGTAGAGCTTCCTGCATCATCAACCACAGAGACTAATAATGGACCCTTTCAAATATATCAAAAATGAAAGATACTCTCATAATCAAAAGGCTTCTTTTCCATAAGACATCAAGAGAAGTTATAAATGTTTACAACCAGCGCCCTAATGCAGGAATACACCAATAAAATAAAAGAAACAAAAGGATTAGTCTAAAAACTATTGCTTGTGATAAAGAAGATAATTTATGCATGGCATCCCAAGTAAGCATACTTAATTCAACAGAAAACTGTGAATAAGTTGTCCTTGAATATTTATTTGTTACACCTCTCCTAATATTTGATAGGGATATACATTTTTATTATGTAATTGATTATTTTAATATTCTCCGGGATCTTTATCAGATGAATAATACCAACATCAAGTTATAAGTAACTTCTCCTAGCATGCTGTATTACCGTCATTGTCATTGATGCACCCAAACACCCTTAAATCCACTTGCACAGGCCATACTCCTCACTGAAAGTTATAAATTACAATAGCACATTCTCTTACCTTAACACAAAGGTACTCTTCAAGACGGGATGTCTTTACAAAGCAAGACACCAGTATCTGTCAAACAAGAAAGAAAGGGGGAAAGAAAAATCATCAGACATTGAAGATAGACACAAAGCTTGCATAACAACTAGTGCATCTTGATGTCAGGTCTCACTGCTAGCAATAAGAGTCATGTTTCTTCTTTTCTCGTTTCGTAAGTCTTCGAAAGCTTACAGTATTGTTCCTCATTAACAGAAAAGGACACTCCATAAATATGCTTACTATATCTCTTGTCAAAAATTTTTAAAAGAAAAGAAACTAAAAATGGCAGTTCTTGGATTATACAGATGCTCAGAAATGCTTAAAGGAAATATATGTAGACCATATCAATACAGTAAAAAAGTTAATTAAACAACCACTCAAAAAGGCATCAGGTAAAGGTCAATACTCAGAGGTTGATACGATTGAGCTTTAAAGAAAGCTCCTATTACTGTAACCAAATTGGAAGATGTCTTTTGGTTAGTTAGATTTGAATGGAACAGGTATCTAACCACATCACACCACTATACTACTGATAAAATATAAAAATATAAAAAGACACAGGATTAGGCAAATTCTTTTAATGTCTCTTGACATTGCATATAAAAAATCTATCAAGGATATGATGATTGTAAAACAAATCAACAAGTCATGAAAAAATATAATAATTTCCTAAGAAAGTCAGATGTTTAACACGAACCAAAAGAGCCTGATTTTCAGGATTGATATTTTCCAGAAATACTCTTCTGTGCAATCTCTGCTGCTCAACCTGAGGATTCTTAGCCAAGACCTTGCGCATGTCTGCAACTATTATCTGCACAAACAAAAGGGATCCCAAAAAATTTATAAAAATGGAAATGGCAATTCAATGCCTCCAAAGGTGAAATAGAACTTTTGACATGCTTGGGTAACCCCTTACATTAATCTTATTGACATCCAAGTGACTGATGGCCAGGTGAGTTTTAATGCGCCAATGAGTTTTCTGGCTCAGATTTCTCACAACATTTACTGTAAATTTGTGGTTTGGAATGTGAACCGCTTCACGATCTTCCCCTCTTACTATTGTTGGTGACCACCAACCAACATGCTGAATATGAAAAAACATCAAGACCAATAGAAGAAAATCCTCAAATGAACCATGTTGTTTTTCCAGTGCACTAAGGGAATTACATCACTAAAACCCAAGCATAATTTTGAGATCTAATACAAACACTTAAACCATAAAGTACATTTAAGTAAGAGCTCCACCTTTCTCTCTAAACAACTTATTCAGAGACAGGGCTCAATTACAAACCTCAACAGTACCAGAAACTTCATATCCCTGAATCTTTGTTTGAATCCATTCATTCACAACAAAAGGTCGAGTTGCATGAATCATTGCACTTGAGAGAAAATTTGTGAATATCTACATCAACAAACAACATGTCAAGCATTGAGAAAATGCATATACCGATATTATAACAAAGGGATCAAGAAAAAGTCTAAGATAAAAAAAAAAATTGGGGATTTTGATCTTTGTTTGATCTTGGACTAATTTAGGGCATGAACAAGATAGAAAATAAGCACTAATTTTATGTTTCTTTAGGTTAAAAGTTGTGGGTTTGGTATCATTTCTTGTTTTCCTGGGGTTTGGTATTCAAAGAGTTTTAAAATTAGCTGTAAATCTCACGATTTAAACCTAGATGGTTTATTTTAGGGTCTTCTGTTATTATTTTAAGAGATCAAAATTTGGTGGTTTCCTATCCATAAGTCATTGTGAGAATACGACAAGTAGAACACTATTAAGTAAGCATGTAATCTCTTTTAATTAATAAAGAAAAAGTTAAAAGATAATTTCACAGATGTTATTGATGCATGATCAGTTATGCTACCTGTCAAATGTATGAAGAAATTTTTAGCTGTAGGTGTGAATGGTTAACTTTATTTCTTCTTCCTCTTATCCCTATTTCTAGCATTGTTCAAGATTTACAACCAGCCTAAATCAGTCTCTTAAAACTATTAGACCTTTATCAAATCAACACCAAAGCAACCTCCAAGCTTCAATCACAACCATAAATCATTGCTCATAGGTACACCTTTCACAGCCCAGAAGTCCCTTTTGTTAGTTTTTCTCCCTGAAAGCTAAGTTACTTTCTAAACAAACCTGCAGACATAACCATCTTCTCTCATTCAATTAAACCCTACAGTCGCAAGTTCTTGCCCATCATATAATAAGATTTTCAAAATTCATGCAACCCACATTCCTGTCTTATATAATCTATATTATTCTTGCTAAACTGCAGTTAACATAAAGGATTTTTATTTAAAAAGGAAGCATTGTCCATTGATACTAAGTAATGTGAAAGAAAATGTATATTCCAGAAAACCTAAAGTTGAAATGCATCGTAATGAAAATGATATTTAGGTGTACCTCACGACCAGCAAGAGTCAGCAAAACTGTCCCTAGACCTCCAGCAGTTAGCCACTTTTGAGTAGAGAAACCCAGCAACTCCATGAACAACGATACAGCAGCAACCCAAACTGCAGAGCATATTGCTTTCCCTGCAAACTGGAAGCCCATCTGCCAGAAAGGCAAGAAAATTTATGAATTAGTTAAACCAGAAAAGTATGTAAATAAATAAAATTAATGAATGAGAATTGCTGTGTATTATAGCTCTCTCAGTCTCTCTACGGTAATGGATGGAGGCATCAGAGTCACACTTCACATGCACTCTGTTTTCGCTATATACAAGAGCAATCACATGAATATTGGTAATTAATATCAATGGGTTTATGTTAGAGCATTGGCACCAACGTTTCTCGTATCATCACTGGTCTCAGTTGTCTCCATGAAGAATTTCTGCATTTGCTGAATCATGCTGCATAGAAGCATTTTAACCATGTTTAGTGGTCATGGAAACAACTGTCATGAAGCATTACAACTAGCAGAACATTATCAACATTAAGAAATCAATTTCAGTAGAACAAGATTCTGAAATATTATAAATCAAATGACAAATCAAATTGTATTTCATACTAGTCCTAGATGTGTGCTACATGTGTTTTCTACCCTCATGTTTCACTTTACAACCTCTAGTTGTCAATATTTTGCTTCTAAAAAATTTTTAGTCAATATAATTGGAAGGTTATTATTATGATTTTCATTAGATTATTTCAGAGTAACCCATTTCAAGAGAACAAACTGGAACTGGATTTCAGTAACCAATTTGCTAATGAGCTTGCCAGCAACCAAGCATTGCTAGTTTGTTACATTAAATCATATTAAAGCCAGTGACCATCAGCATCTAGAATTTTTTGAGAAAAAAGAAAAAAGGAGAATGCATGCTTACTTTGATAAGCAATATGCCGAGGCCAGCACAGTTGACAATGATCTTACAAAATTTAAAGCCCGTTGCTTAACAACTTGGCTAGCTTCTGTAGGGAGAACTAATGGATCCAGTGTTCTGCAAAAAGCACACCAATAACATGCATGTGAATTGAACAGCTGGAAACTAGATTTTGCATTTTATAACAGCAAAATATAGAGCCCTTTTGGCATTTAAAAAAAGTGTCACGATTTTGGCACCTGCATATGAGAATTGCTCCAGTCCACAGCAGCAAAGGTTGAATATAAGAAGTTGTAACATAATGCGTTCTACTTTTCTTCCAGCTATTATCACTCTTCTGCAGGTAATCCTAGAATATTAGATAATGCATTGACCCAATTTGGCCAGACGTGTATTGAACTGCAGTAAATAACAGAATTGAGCAGAACCTTAAGGAGTGAACTTACATGAAGAAGTAGACTTCTACTCTGCTGAAAAAGTGGACCAACACCCCATAGGGCAAAAATTATAAGACTAACAGCTGGAACCAACTTAAATACAAGAGGACTACATTGTAAGATTTTACATGACCTGCATGATACAAAGGTCTTAATCTTAAATGCATAAAAATAATTACAGTCACTAAACATAAAGACAATACCCAAAAGTAGCAGTACTGTTTTAAGGAATATATGTTACTGATAGAAACATGAAACCACATGTAAAAATAAATTACCTAAAGCAGAGCAAAGTAATGTACTCTTAAATAATAGTTAGAGACACACGTTAGAACTTGAATCCAAATAAAAAGTTAATACTAGAAATGCTGGACTATTAAGAGAACACATTTATCTGTATGATAAATACAGATAACCACCCAAACAATCCTGAAGTTCAGTAAAACAAATAAGCATGCACATTTAAGTGGATGACTAAACAGGGGAAAAAGAGCACCTTGTCAATGCAACAGATGCAGCTTTTACACCAGGAAGTTCAAATATTTGGCCTGGTACTTGAAAAGCATGACACCTAAAGGCATTATTTCTGTATGGAACAAAATGTACTGGCCTATACAAACTGTCGAAGAGGTGAATTCTGCAAGAATACTGTTGCAGGAACTGTGGTAAAAAGAGAAAAAGATTCCTCAAACATCCTTTAAAGAAAATTAAATTTCTGTTAATGCTATTAAATTGAAAGAATATCTCCAGGCCACCTTTCAAAGAGCTACAAAGCAGTTTGCAGTTCCAAGTCCAATTGCAATTCTATTATAACTAATATAACAAAAAAAAAGAAAAGAAAGATTTAAACTTATAAGAGTCTATGGGGATCACCATCTAATATTTACATAAAAATTTAAAACAAGAATACAAATCTAGCCTTTAGATCCAGAATATTATGATAACATGGTACAATCACTGCAATAATAAATATGGAGTGATCGGGAGATTGAAAAAGACATATTAATGACAACATGCTAGTATGCTTGAAAACTTGTGTGCAAACTACGCTTAGTGAGACAGTTTCCATGCACATTGAAATGATGATATTGACAAGCAAAAGCTATCATATTTGTGTCCATACATCAAAGAAATGCATCCATAATAAACTTGGCTAAACCAAATTTCAGGCAAATAACAGATAGCAAGACAAGAATGACAAGAAAACTTAAACAAAAATCCTAACATGCATATTGCAGATATGTATGCCCTTATTAAGGTGAGACCTTTTTTACACAATTAAATGTCCATAATCACAATTAACTAACAGCAGAGCAATAATATTGTAACAAAGACGCACTGGTCTTAGAGCTTGAAGTCATACCGACACACGAGATGAGAGGGTGGCGCTCAGTAAATGCAACTTGCTCCTTCCCGATACAATCTGAAAACAGAAAAAAGAAAAGCAAATATCGACATACACATTAAAAATGCCAAACATAATACAAAATGCTTTCTTAGACAGGTAGGGGGGGATCTTGTACCTTAAACTTTTTATTATATCCTTGGTTCCTGCAAAGTCCCATATCATGGGACAATTGCAAAGAACCAGGAAGAGACATTTTCGGAGTGAAACCAGTCGTTTGCAGAGGGGGTCCTTAGTAGCATAAGTTCATACAATATTCCAATAATAGCTTAAGCTTTAAACTCCGAGTGTATATTAATAAAGTAAAAACTTATCCAAAATCTCACAACTCTTGAACCTGCCAGAGAAAATTAAGAATTTCATGCGGCAACAGAAGAAAAGAATAAAATCAATAAGAACAATAAAAGTTCCTGAAACCCTAGAAGAAAATTTTATTTCGAAAATTTCAAAATTCCACCAGAATAACGTAATTTTCAGCAGTAATTTGAAAAAAAAAAAATCAGAAAGAAGGTAGCTTTAAGTCTCAGAGACGGAAACTTAATTATAATCATCCAGGACTAAATACAATCAAGCAAAAAATGTAAAAGAAAGAAACTTGCATCAATTCAGAATTGAAATTACAATTTTTTCAAAGAAAATATCAGATAAAACAGAATGAATGAAATTAATTAAGAAATACCAAATTTCTACTCACAGGTAAAGTATTCCGTAGCCGACTTAAAACAAAATTTACATATAACTATCAGAATCAAATTGAAACAAAGCTAAAAACGATAAAAATTCAAGTAAATTCGAAGTGACGAAATGGAGACTCTTCTCAAAGCATAAAGAAACATAAATTTGAAGGCGACGGAAATTGGAATTATAGTTACCTTGGAGAGGCAGAAACGACGACGGAGAGGAGAATTTCAGTCGTCCAAAATCTTTTCGCAGAAATTTAGAGACTGGCTCTTGATTTTTTTCCTCTGGAGATTCGCTGAGAGGGAGAGAATTAACCTGTGCCGCGAACTTTTCGCCAATGATATTTGGCCACGTGGATGGCCACGTTGGCTTCCGCCGCGGCTCGTCTTTTTCCCTCCCTTTTGGACAAAAATAAATTTGTTCTTTTTTAAAAAATACGGTATAATGGAAATAAACGGCTGCGAAAGGTTGCGTCTTCGAAATTTCAAGCAAGCAAGAAACATGGGGTAGGAGGAGAAAGTGAAGAAGGAAGGGCTGGAGATGATCGGCCGATTCCGAAACCTTGCTTGTTCGGTCGTCTTCGATCTCGATTATACTCTCTGGCCTTTTTACTGGTACAATTTTCGCCCCAATTTCTAACTTTGTTACTGATAATTTTCTTTGCGTTTCTTTTAATGCCCTATGAAATGTGATTGGAATTTGCTGGTGATTAATTTTTCTGTATGTTTCTGGATTTATTGTTCAATTTGTTCGTGTGTGTTGTGAAGAGGATGAATCAGCTGAGCGTCTTCTCTGGAGGACTCACTGATCCGATCAACTAGACCTTCAACGAATCCAAACAACTTTGCCCGCTCTGTTGACAACTTCATGATGTTTTCGAGCAAAATTTTCTTTTCACTCTTAAGCTCATCAAGCAAAGCCTCTGATGTTCTCAGACTTGCCTCCATCTTATCATTCAAGTTCTTCATTTTCAGATACTTTGCTTCCAATTGAACTTCAACAGTCAATGCTAGCTGTTTTGAATCAGACAGGGATTTTTCGTGTGATAACAGTTTCTCCTGTATATTATGACTGTCAATGCTAGCTTATCCAGAATCTCAGCTCTGGCAACCTTCTCCCAAGCTTCATGGGCCAAATTAATCTGTGCCTGCTTCTCACCAAGCTCTAAAGAAAATGAATTTCAATGAACTACTAAACTCTTTCTCCATTGACCTCACAACTTGAGTGGAGACATGTAACTAACCCGAAAGATATTGTTCATTTTGATATGAAAATTTTACAATTTTATCCCACTGTAACACAAAAGACGTTTTGTAAGTGTGAGTTTAAATTTTTATTTATACATTATATCAAATTCTTTTAACATTTTGATATGAGAGTGAAATTGTGACACTCCAATTTCATATTCGAAAATTCTATGGATCTATTATAATATATAATTTAAAACTTAATCTCAAATTTATCATATGTTTTTTGTAAGATAAATTTATGAGATTTTTGAATTAAAACGAATAATATTTTGTAAATTAAGTGTGAGATTCCACAAATGATATCAGAACGATCACCAGTAAATCTTACGGGAGTTAAGTGTTATACGATAGTAGTCATTTCTAGAATCTCAAGGTATAATGTAATCTTATGATCTATGTATGCTTTGTGTTAGATTTGATGAGAACATCAAATTTTAACGAGAAGAGTTTGTAACGTCCCAATCTCATTTTAGGATACTTTAAAGATATGTTATGATATATATGTAGAGACTTAAATTTAAATATGCGAGGCACTTTTTGTAAAATAAAACTATAAGATTTTCAAATCAAAATGAATAATATATCACAAATTAATACAAGTCTCCACAAATGATATCAAATTTTCTACTTGACGTTTCCGTTAAACTCGACACAAAACACACATAGAACCACAAAATCAAAATTATACAAGATGTTAAGATTCTCAAATTAACTCCCAAAGTGTTGCACTGAACTCTCAATTAACTTTCATGATGTAACGTAAATAACTTTTATAATGTAACACTTAATTTTTATTTAATTGATTATTATTTTAATATCATTTATAGAAATTCATACCCAACTTAAAAAGCTTTGTACATAAGGAAAAAGAAAATTTTAGTTTGAAACTAAGTTCTTTGTGTCCTTTTAAATTTTCTTTAACCACTAAGCTAAGGAGTTAAGGCTATGATATTATTTGTGAAAATTTTCACTTAATTTGTGAAATATTATTTATTTTAATCCAAAAATCTCACAATTTTCTTGCTCAAATTTTCTCTCTGCACCTATACTATATGTGCAAATGCAGCACCTTCCAGTTCCCTTCTGAATGGTTCTTCTGCTAGCAATCCAATCTCTTTCTGAAGATCCTCTAAGATCTTGTCCTGTTCTCTTGTGATTTGAAGAATGCTTTCTGCAGAACTCACTGCTTCTAATTCTCTGGCTTTGAGCTCTTGCTCTAGTGACACTCTCTGCTGCTGGAGATTTACTATTCTCCCTTCTTTCTATTGCTTGATAGTTTCTCCAACCTCCACTTGTGCAAGAAGTGAAGCTTCTAATTCTTTACCAATTCCTGACTTTCTTCAAGCTCAACTTTTAACCGCTCAGCAATAGATTTCCATATCCACAATTCAAATTCAATTTCATGTCCTTCACAAATTTTCTCAACCAATTCAGAATATGCTTTTTCCAAAGCATTGTGAACTTCTGTCAGTTTCCTTTCTGAGTCACGGTCAATCTGAGAAATTTGCTCTTCTAATTGAAGTAGGCACCTAGGTGGCTCCTCAAACATTTCATTGTACCTGTCAGGTTCTTTCTGCCTCAGGCCCACTGTTCTTCCAAGTGATCTAATGATTCAATCCTCTTCATTAAAGAAGCTGCCATTCACGTTCTTCAGCCAATTCAAAATTTGCAGTTTCTAAAGCATCACAAACTTCTCTAAGTTACTCTCCAAATTCAATTTTTATATGCGCAGCTTGCTCTTCTAACTCATTTTGACTCCTAGATGCTACTTCAAGCTTTTCCTTATACTTCTCAAGCTATTTCTGTGTCTGGAGCCACTGCTCTTTAATTTGATCTAAAGACTCAACGCTCTTCATCAAAGAAGCTGTCCTCTCTCGTTATTTAGTCAATTCAGATTTTGCTGATTCTAAAGCATCAAAAACTTCTCAAAGTTTCTCTCTGGATTCACTTTCCATCTGCAAAGCTTGCTCTTCCAAGTGTATTTGACACCTAGATGCTTCCTCAACCCTTTCTTTACACCTCTCAAGCTCTTTCTGCATTAGGAGCCGCTGTCCTTCAATAAGATCCAAGGACTCAACTCTCCTTAACAAAGATGGTAGCTTCTCCCGTTCTTCCGCCGGTTCAGAATTCACCACATCTAAAGCATCACAGACTTCTCTAATTTTTTCTTTGAATCATTGTCCACCTGCAAAGCTTGCTCTTTCAACCGAAGTTGACACCTGGATGATTCCTCGATCATATCTTTGCATCTATAGAGCTCTTTCTCCATTAGCTTATGCTTATCCTCAAGTTGATCTAAGGTATCAACCCTCCTGGATAAAATTGCTATCCTCTCACGTTCTTCTGCAATGTCTCTCTGAGCATTGGCCAGAGCATTATTTCTCATCTCCAGCTGCTGCCTCAGAGTAGAAAGATTCTCTACCCTCTCTTTCTCATGGAAAGCCAGCTCAGTCTCAACATTTGCAAATTTCAGTTGAGCCTCGGACATTCCTGACTTCAATAGTAGTGACATCACAGAAATCTCTTCATTCTGCAATTTCAACTGAAAAGCTGAAGAAAGGCAACCTTCAAGTTCCATCTCAAGCACTTTGAGCGCGTCATCTTTACCCTCTAACTAAGAGCTGTAATCATTCAATTTCCTGGTCATTTCATCCCACTGAGTTCCATTCAACTTCTTTAGCCCTGAGATTTGTTGAACACTCCTTGTACATCTGCTCGACACTTTTGAGCTTGTTTTCAGTTTTGAAAGAGAAGAGGAACTTCCAGCTTCCCGGAGTTCTTTGAGAGATGTCAACAACTCTTGATTTTCTTGCTCCAGTTTTCCTGCTTGATATTCCATTTCGTTATAAAATGACTCCTTTGTGCCCAATAAATGTCTCAGAGTTGCAACTCCATTACCCTCTGGGAATTCAAGCAGTCCAGTTGTGACTTAGCATCTTGTTATTCAGAAAAAATATTTTCATAGCGTGTTTTAAATTCTGAAATTTCAACTTCCAGATACTTTCTTTGGGTTTCATCATGAGCCAAGGCTTGATTACACATCTGTAACCAGTTTTGAAGGTCTCCTGTAATTCGAATCTAAGAATCTAATCTTGTCTGCAGCGAAGAAATCTCATTAAGCAATGTAGATTTTTCTTGCTCCTACTCTTACTCATGTTGAACTGGTCTCGAAGTCTCTCATTGGCTTCTTCTAGGTGTTTGGACTACTCCTTCCATTTTACCTGATCTTCAACCTTCCTCCTGTCTTCCTCTACCTTGACCAACACATCATCTCTTTCTCTCAGCTCCTTTGGATTTTTGGCCTTTTTCTCTGCTTCTGTACACTCCGACGAAACTGACAGGTGCGCTTTGAGACCTTCAATCCCTGCCTTAAGCATATTGATATTTTGTTATTGATCTATATTCTTCTCATTGGCCTCATCCAAAGCCAATACCAACCTTACATTTTCCTGCTTCCATTTCTGATTCTTCTCATCACACTCAGCTCTCAGCTTATCATTAGCAGCATTCAAATGCTTGACGATAGATTCTTTTCAATTCAGACTGTATTTAAAATCTTTATTGGCTTGCTTTACCACCAAGATTTGTTCTTCTTTTTCAAGATGCCGTTGTGCCTGCTTCTTGATTTTTGAACTCGCTTCTTGGATCTTTGTTACCTGCTCATTCTGGACTTTCTTCAAGTGCTCACATAATTCAGCATTGCTTTTGAAATCTGCCCTCAGCTTCTCATTCTCAACTTTCACTTCATCTAGCTCTTCATAAATATTTTCCATTGCCATTTTTCCTGAAATTAAGTGAAAATGTTGCTACAATTGTTATTCATAAAATATTTAAATAATCATATAAATAGTATTATCCATCAGAATTCCTTAGTGCTTTAAACTGAACTGTAATTTCTTTAATGAAAGAAAATCAAGATCTAATGTCGTTTTCTTTTCTATGCTTTTCCGGGGAAACAAATGGAGGTCAGCAAATGCAAGATCTAATTAAACAAATAAATGAAACATTAAAATTGAAAAATATCAAATAACTAAAACCCCAAAGTCACATAACACAGAATTAAAAAATATTTAAAAAAAAAAACTTCACAATGCAACAAGTTAGTAAATACCCACAAACAGCACGTGAATATTTTTGGTTAAATTCAAGAGGATGAAGCCAAAAAACTAGTTTTCAGTTTTCTCTTCATTTTGAACTTTCTTTGCTCTTTTCTTTTTATTTTAATGGGAGTTTTGAGTGGTTTCTTGGAGTTTCTCAGTAAACAAACGGAGAAATAACTAGAAGAGAAGAAACACCCAGAAAAGTACCCGGTTTCAGATTATAGATTCGTCATCTGAGGTGGGTTTCCGAACACTTTTTTTTTCTTTGGTAATTTTCTTCTGGTTCTCGAAATTTAAAGATTACGAAGAGAAAATATGCAAGAAAAGGGAGGAAAAAACAAAAAAAAAAAAAAGAAGAAGAAGAAATGAGGGTGTTGTTCAAAACTCAAAAGGAGCCGTTAAGAGATTGGGGCCGCGGGAATTTAAATTTTAGTGGACGAGTGACTTGACGCCGTTAGCCTTTGATTCATTATCCGTTAATCTCTCGTTTCCAAAAAGTTAAGAACGTGAACTCCGTTAGGTAGTGGAAGTTGGGTTGGGTTGGGCTAAGGTGGGTCAGTAGCTATGGTCTTTTTTTAACTCATTTCTTCAACTTTCCAATCTGTCTTGCGGTCTTCTTAAAATCATCTCTTTTATCCTTCTTGCATGGACCATGGTTACTTGAAAATATAGGCAGGAGAAATAAAACTTTTCATTACAAGGATCTCATTTTCACAAATTTTTTAGTTACTAATTTCATGTTATACAAATTACGTCTCATTTGATAGTATTTGTCGGTACATTTAGCGCCTAACTATAATACAATATTTAATTTTACCGTCATTAATTTTTTTAATTTTATAAAATTAATCTCGATCTAATCGTCTATCTAAAGAAGCACATAATTTATTTTTTATTTTCTATATCCTAATTTCATGTTATATATATATATATATATATATATATTAGTGGTTTTATCATGTCTAGGAAATTGGTGTTAGATTATATTATTGCACTTTGAGTGTTGGCCTTTGTTTCGTAGGATTAAGCAGTATTCATCGCTGCTTCTAAGTTCATACCTTCTTACTTTTATCTTTATCAGGACTAGAGGTCGAAGGTGACCGCAAGTTTGACGAGGGGCCCTTAAGCAGAGATTGGATGAGTGAGATCCAGGAAGAATCAGTGAATCAACTTAATTCTCAAGAGCCAAGATAAGGAAAGAGGGTAACATCCTACCATCATTTTTAAGCAGAATGGGAAGATAATTTTAAGAGGGAGCAAAATCAATCAAACTTTGATTGTCATCATTATTAAGAATCTAAGAATAAATCCATAATAATGGCAGTTATGACAAACAAAAATGGGACCCTCCCTCTCTTTATTTACAGATGAACTATTGAACCACCACAGATGAATCAAAAGAATATACATTGAGCAGGGTAGAAAATCATGTGCAGACAAGCAAGCAAAAAATTCCCAAATCCGCTGGCTTTGTCCTTTTGCCACGCATGGTATGGGGAGATAACAAATCACATGCTCTAGAGTCTAGCCACTCTAAAAAATCCTCGCTTCTGGCTCACCTTGCATCAACACCAACTTTCTCTTCTTTCTGATGTGATCATTTCATCAAACATATACACTATCGATTTATAGGTTACCACATGTGTATTTTGTCTTTGTTTAAAGGCCCTTAAGGATCAGCATTTTTGGTGCTTACGTCTATTGCCCAGACTCCTGACCTTTCCAAAGTGCTGAGATTTTTTAGTTCATGTGCATTCATGTGCATTCATGTGCGTTCATGTGCTACTGTCTGGGTGTGAGACTTGGTTGCTACAAAAAGGCCTGACTCTTAAACCTTATCTTTCCCATTGGCAGAAGTAATAATGCCTATGGTTTTGAGTGCTAGTTTCTTTTGTCTGAAATTCTTTAGGCTTTACTTAATAAATGACAAAAAAAATTTAATAACAATTAAGTCTTGTTACCGTTTTTTACATTCTAACTTAATTGTTAAATTAAACATTAATAATTATACAACTTTGTTTTTGCTAATTTTGTGCTTTTGGAGGGATTTATTTAATTATAACATTAAAAAAATACTTAAATGAGCCTTGTTAATTATTAAAATTTAAGGATGATTGATTCGAATTTAATTTAATTAATAAATATAATTATTTTCTAAAAAAAATAAATTTCAATATTAATAATTTCGCTATGTGTCTCTAAGATTGTAAAAAAAAATCAAGGATCATTAAGGTTTCATCAATGGGGCTAAAAGTCCATGTTCTTCAATGATATTGGCGTATGGTAGACAAAGTTACGTAACCTGAATGATGATCAAACATCTTTTTGAAAGAGCGTTATTATCATGTTGCCACAATTCCACAAATCTCAAATAATATTATAATTATTTTAATTTTTAATTTTTATATATAACAAAAGGACAAATAAAAATGAGTGGCTAGAAGGAAATAGAAAAATCTCAAATTTTTTATTTAATAATTAAAATCGTTTGAAAAAATATCAAATATCTAATTTCGAATCAATTTTTTTTTTATTTGTACTAAAATTTTGTGACGATGTAACCCAAAAAAAAAAAAATTGACCCAAGAGGTAATGGCACTGAATTAAAGAACATTAAACCTTTATCACTTTACACTTGGTGTCTCTTTCAAATCAAAAACAAAATAAAGAAAAAGACAAACATTTAATTGTGTCAAAATGGGAAAATTTTATAAAAAGAAAAAGTTAATAATAAATAATTAATAAGGCCAAATTATAATTATTATTAATCATTCCATCACAGTCCTGACGGGCCAAAGGAGTGGTCATAATCATAGATGTTGAATTCACTAAAATTCATGATAGTCAAATTTAAAAAAAAAAAAAATTTGGAACTGAGAACTAAGGAAATTTATCCCAACATATGTTACATGAATAATCCAGTTTATATAAAACAAATTAAATTAAGAAAATTATATTGGCTTAATTTAACTAATTAATCCTTTAAGCTAACTTATTGGTATAATGAAAATACATGTGTCAATAAAATTTATAATCATAATTAGATAAACCTATATATATCCTAAATTAAAAATTAATTAATTAGTAAAAAATAAAACATTTCAATTTAAATTAAATAAAAAAATATAAAAAAATTTGAAATTAATATAAAAAAAATTTAAAACTTCCTTTTCATAAAAAAAAAAAAAAACTCTCATCGGCCATCCTAGTAATATTTATTAAGTAAATACGTTTATAAAATTATAATTTATTCAGCAATATTGACATTAAAATATCAAAATTTTACATATAATGTGAAACTAAACACTTTTTTTTTTTGTCAAATGCTATATATTTTTTGTTATAATAAAAGATTACCTAGATTTACCTCGTCAAAATTTCCTCACTTTGCCGAAGCATGAAGAAAGAGAAATGCGTCATCTTTATATTTTCAGCTCTGCATGGCACATGGGTAGGGGGCTCAAAGTGGAGAAAAAAAATGCTCACAGTGATAATAAGGGAAGTGGGCCGAGGGATACTTGTTTCGTCTGCCTTTCTCGCTCGCTTTCTCCTGTGGTTGGATCGCCTTTTTTACGATACGTAATTGTATCATATAAAATATTATATTTATGTTATATTTTATATAAAAATTAATAATATATACTATCATATTATATAAAATATTATATTTATATCATATTTTATATAAAAATTATGTGTTATAATTCGTATCGATATAAAAATATAAAATATGATTTTTTAATTTTATTAAATTTATTTATAATTTTTTAAATTTTAAATCATATTATTTTTATATCATATCATATTTTAAATTATCAAATTTAGATTACCCTACCTTTTTACAAGTGCTGCGCTTTTTTTTTTTCGAACACTAATGCATCATACGAAATTAAAACTAATTATTAATAAATAAAAACGAAAATTATTTTAAAATTATCACTAGTAAACAACTTGTTATATTTTGGAAAAAAAAAAAAACTTGTTATGCGTTATACAATTATCTCCAAATAGTGTTTTTTTTATAAATAATAAAAGATGCATGAGTTTGGTATTGAATACCTTCTTTTTTAATCAATTCAAATATATTTATTTACATTGAATTTAAATAAATTTAGAAAAATTAATTTCTTTCAAAATTTAAATGAATCAAACATAGACAAAAGAATATGTATTCATTTTTTTTTAAGTTGTTCAAGATCGATTTATATTTAATAAAAAATTTGTACATTTTATTCAAACCCGAATCGTTTAAATTATAAAATGTTTAAAATTGATTTGTATTTGGCTAATTTAAACTAAATGAACCCATTGAACATTAAATAAATAATTTTTAAAAATATATATATAAATGAATATATTTATAACTAATAAATAAATATATTCATAAATAATAAACAAATTATAATAAATATATAATATGATTAAGTAAAAGATAAAAATATAATATTGTTATTATTATTAAACAATAAATGAATATAAGCTATGTTTATGTTCAATTTATTTAATAAATAATTACAAAAATATTATTTCAAATCATTTATTCAATTTAATAAAAAATTATAAATAAATAAAAATCGAACATATTTATAAATAATTTTTTAAAAACTCAATTTGATTATACCTCTGCTTCCAACTTTCTTTAAATTATAGGTATAGGTGGAAATTATTGTAAAAGAAATAAACAAGGTTTATTGGACAAATAAATACGTACCAATGAAATATGCGTAGCATAAGCGAATGATTAGAGGACAAAGGAATGATTTGTCAAAAAAAACAGCATAGATTGAAGCCAAACTTTGGGAGGAAAATAATATATATTTTTCAAATAAAAAGTTAGGAAGAGAAGCATTATGCATGCCTTTTGTCCTTTTGCCGAAATATGAATTTGTTAATTGAAAAAAATTGATGGCCGCTTACTGGAACATCAAGGTGGGCCCTCAAACCTTTTTTTTTTTTCGTTTAGGCAACAAACTTTTCCTTTTTTTTTTTTTTAATCATGATCGATACGAGTAAGTGACATTATAAATTCTTATGAAAAGAAATTGGATCTATCATCCATGACCAAATCAACTTGGCCCCATTGCCAAGAAATTTTCAATAATTGTAAAATAAATCTTGTTGAAGAAATAATTTAAATACAATTTAATGACATCAGCTTCCCTTAAAAAAGAAAATATATATTATATAATCATATAAAAAATATTTATTATTATATTAAATATTAATTTAATTGATTTATACAATTATTTAAAAAATAATATTTAATAATTTTAAATTTCAATATATATAATTCTTTCTTTTATCTTCATATCTCATTTTTTTTTCTTAATGAGTTTAATATAGTAATTATAATTTACCTGCCATTAGTAAATATGAGTAACTAAGATTTGAGTTAATGTTATGAATAAATTTTGAATTATAATAAAATATTTAAAATTATATTTAAATTTTAAAATTTTTTAATATGATATTTAAATTATATTTAATATAACTAATTTTAAATAATTTTTTACATATCACATTAAGTAATAAAAATCTATAATTAAAATATTTTATTATAATTTAAGGAATTTTAATTACATTATCCCTTATATTAAATATTCCAAGGAAAATTCCCCACCAAAGTCGTCCCGTGCGTCTTGTCAACTTTCCAACCAAAATCTTGTAAGATTTTTCCAAGTGGAAAAAACGGTGAAGTATACGAGGAAAAGAAGGAGAAAAATGAAGAAGATTCGATGCTCCCTGAGTTTTTTATGCCAAAAATATTTTCCGCGTAAATGAGTTATAGTTGGATAACAGATATTTCAACACCTTTTTTTCTCCCTTCTTTTTCACTCAAAATTCCCCCATTCGACCACTACTCTTTTTTCTAAGTCAATGTCTCTCATTTGGAATATCAAAGAAATTATTTTTCTTTTTAAATGCCCCATTTCGTGGAATAAGGGGGGCAGCCGCAGCACATCATTAATTATCAAGTTAGTGCTCCATGACGTGTGCGAAATTGCTTGTGCATTTGGTTTTTCTCTTTTGATTTTTGAATTAGCATGATCTTGATCTTGACGTAAAGATAGTTTATTTTTATTTAAGTTTTATTTATCAACAAATGAATAGTTTAATCTACTAAAGTCTTTTTTTTTTACGAAAAAATTTTGATTCAAATTCTGTTAATAATTATTTATTAAAATTATTTTAAATATATAATTTATAATTATTAATTTTAAATTATTAATTACGATATATCTTATCTTAATTTAAAAAATTGAATAATTTATTTATTTTTAAATTTTTTATAAAAAAAATTATTTGAATGAATAATAAAATTAATTTTGATGAGATTAAAAAAATAATAATAATTATTATTATAATTAAAAAATTTATTTTAATTGTGATTAAAATTTTTAATAAAATTTTTATATTAAATAAATTTTATTAAAATTAATATTTAAATTTAATTGATAATATAATAAATTTAATTATATCATATTAAAAATACGATAAAATTCAAATATAATATTAAAATATTTTTTTAATGCTATATTGTTCTATGACAGAACGACAATCCAATACAATAATTTTTTTTTTCAAGTTGTGCAAACAAACAAATTCTTAATTAAGTGCTGTCTTCTTTAAATACGGTGGATTCTATGTATGATTTGACAATATCTAAGAGGTAATGCATGATCTTAACCATTTCAGTGTCATATTATGTTTAATTTTTTTTTTTTTTTACTTTTTATTTTGAAAAAGTAAAAGGCCAATAAAAAACTAAGAATCTTTTTCAAAGAAGAAAAAATGAGAACCATACGTATCCTTATCTCGTGCATTAATTGCTACACAGACTTTTGCTGCTTTTCAATCTTCTGAAAAACTAACGATGCTTTCCGGCCAATGACTATTGCAAAATTGCTACGAAAAGTTAAATCACCACCCAATAAAATGAGGTTAATTCTTCCATACAAAAGGAGGAAATATTTGAGCTTGGCGTTTTATATTTCCAAGCACCTACAGCTAAATCGTTTTCCATGGAAACAAAAACATAGGGAAGTATTGGCTCAATCTGTAAATTCGTTTCTGCTCTCTCGATATTAATTCGTTTTGGTTGATGGTCTTTCCACTTTTCTTTTTATATAAAAGATCATAATCTAATAATATAAAAAAATATTACAAATATTAATATAAATATTAAACGTATAATTGTTGTGAAATATGTTACTGAGTTTACTTAATTTGGAAATACCAAACAATCTATATATCCACCACAAAATGAGAAAGGAGGAGTACTAAAAAAAAAAAAAACCAATATGATAGCACATGAATTATATCTTATAATTTAAAATATGATATAGTAATATGATATAAAATAATATAAATAAAATATAAAATAATATAATTTAAAATTTTAAAAAATTATAAATAAAATTAATAAAAAAATTTTACATTTTATATTTTCACATAAATATAAATTATGATATATAATTTTTTTATAAAATAAAATATTAATATAATATTTTATATTATTTAATAACATGTATTACCAAATCTGATATTGACATATGATCGGTCTAAACTTGTCTTTCACAAATTGTTACGTGCACATGTTGACATGAACAAGAAACAAGACAGGAGAAATGATCAAAGGACGAATCATTCCTTATAATATGTGAAAGGCCAAGTCAAGGATTTCACATTGTTTCACTTACTAAAGGAAACAAGAAGTACTTGAGCCAATGATGAAGCCATGAAAAAGTAAAAAATAAAAATCATCTTTTTTCTCTACGGTGAAAAATGTGTACTTGAATTAACGATAAAATTAATTACGATGACATTAAAAATAATAATAATAAAAAAATTAATTATTATAATAATTAGATTAAATCAATAATAAGAATATGCATCGATGCAAATGCACCAATAGAAATAAAGTGAATTATAATAAGGTAAAAAATTATTATTAAAAATATTAAATTAAAATTTATATATAATAAAATATTTAGTATATTTTTTATATTTATAAGTTGATGATTAATTAAAATTTATTTCAATTATTTTTATATCAAATAAAATTTTAAAAATTTTATTCAATAAAAAATTGTATGCATATTATTTTATATTAAAATAAGAATTAAAATTTAAAACATTAAAAATATAAAAATAGTTCAAAATATTTAATATTTGAAATATAGTACTTGTTACAATTACAAATAATATTTTGATAAATTAATCTTAAACATAAATATAAAACATATAATAAAATAAACAAAATTAAATTTAAAAACAAAAAAGTGTTAAAATGACTTAAGAATTAAAAAGAATAATAGAGTCGTTATAATCCAAAATTTCACTTTTTTTTTTTGGGTCTAAGACCTCTAATGTTATCTTATAATTACTTTAGATTTTAATTAATTTGAAGTTAAATTTGATCAGATTTTATAAGAGAAATAAATTTTTTTATTTTATTTTTTTCATTTATGATATTCAAAATCAAAACTTTACTTTAAAAAAATAAAATTCTTTAATAATCGGATCAACAATCATTAATCAAAATTTCAATTGAAAGTTGTGATTTCCCACTACACCTTAGGAGGCCCAGTGCTCAACTGGAGAAATGGTGAGATTAATCTCACCGCAAGATATTATCCGAACAACATCCCGATATGATTTAGAGGTAAAAGGATTTCCAGCTGCACTGCACTGATGCTGTAACGATAACTAAATGGGGCCTAAATAAATAGGTATTGTTCATGTAAACTAATTAACATTGTAATTTTTTTATTTGATTTGCAAGTTATATGACTCAAATATTAATATATTTCCACCCTTTAGCTAAGCTAAGCTAATGTAATTCGACGTTCTATGAGAGTCAGACTTTTTGAAAGTTGACCTAATAAATAGACTTGATAATTTGAAACATGACATGATGAAAATAATATAAAAATAATATAATTTAAAATTAAAAAAAATCATATATAAATATAATAAAACAAAAAAATTATATTTTATATTTTTATGTTGACACGAACGGTAACATGAGATTTTCATGTAAAACATGTCACAAATATAACATTTTACATTACATGATAACATGAATTGTCAGATCTACTAATAAGTCTTTCAGATCTATTAAAATAAGGTTATGGGATATTGAAATTAAAATATTAAATTAAATTTAATCATTTATGTATTTATGTAATGTAAAATATTAAAATTTATATATTCGTATTGTATTTTATATGAAAATTATATGTTATAATTTATGAAAATATAAAAATATAAAAATATAAAAAATATATATTTGATTTTGTTAAACTCATTTATAATTCTTATTTAAAATCTTAAATTATAACACCTTCATATTTTATTTTTATATTACATTTATATTTTATCATCATATCATATTTTAAATTATAAAATCAAATAAACTTTTAACTAATCATGAAAAAAAATCATTTTTTTTAATTATACACACAATTATTATCAAACATTTTTATTAACTTAAGAAAAGTGTTTCGATTTAATTTCCTTTTCAATTTGGCTAAGATTATTTCCTTTTCAATTCAATTTCATTTTATTTTCTACCTTTTTAACCTAAGCTTAATCATTAAAGAATTTTACCAAGGTTCAATCTAGTTCCATGTAACAAAGGGATGCAGTTTTTATTTTTTGGCTAAGTAGCATTTGAATGATTGCAAAAACAAATAAAAAAGATTTAAGAAGGAGTGAAGCCTATGTTTCAATTTTGTTTCCTCTTCAATTCATTTCTTTATATTTTTCACGAAATCAACAATATACAAAGTTTCTTCAACATCTTATCAATTTGAACAAAAAAAAAAAACCATCATTAATATTTAAAAGTTGAAGGAAATATTATACATCACATCACTTAACAAAATGTTTTTTACTATGTATAATTTTTAAAGTTTCTAAAAAAAAGCTAGTTTGTGAAACCATAATTTAAAAAAAAAAAAAAATTATTATTAAATCAAATATTATATATAAAACATATATTAAAATAAAAGAATTAAATTATTTAACATAATTAGATTGTGATCTATAATGAAATAATTTTAGTTATTTTATGTGAATATACATACAAATTGGTAATTTTTTTAAATTTTATTCAAAATTTCAAAATTTATATATAAAATTTTATATCTAACTAACTTGTTATAAAAAATTAATTTTTTAAAAAAGAGAAAAAAGAAAATGACATATCTTCACTTTACATTATCTTTATTTGCAATAATATTTATATACTTAAAATTTTTATCAACTAAAAATAAATTACATGTCTTTTTTAAAGAACAAAAATATATATTATCTAATGATAAATTAAATAATAAAAATGTATTAGCATATTTTCAATTTTGAAATATTGTTCAAATTACTATATAAAATATAAAAAATATTAGGAGATGTGTGAAAAATATAAAAAAGAAATGGTTTTCATAATAATAAACTTGCAATAGTAATAGAATATGCCTAAAAAAATAGATGCAAATCGAAAAAATAAATTGCAATAACAATAAAATTTCAAAAATTATAAACTAAAAATAAAAATGATATAACACATTATATTTATAGCTTTTAATTTGTAGAATAACTCTTAATGACATCTAAGATTGAATAAATAATTTACAAATTAATATTTAAAAAAAATTAAAAGGATATAATAAGTGATAAAAATTAAATCAAAATTTTTGCTTATTTTTTAAATATAAAATTAATAGTTAAAATTGAGATGAATATAGGTCATATTATTTAAAACTTTAATATGAAAAGATTGTTTGAATTTTTAATAGTTTATGTAAATTTTTATAAAAATAATTTTTGTTTGATACAAATTAAAATAAAAGAATATAGTAAAATTTTGAAATATTTGGATAAATTTAATCTTTATAATTTTAAAATATGATAAAAAATTCTCATAATTAAATGATTTACAAAACTATGTTATTCGGCAAAAAATTAAAACTATTATGATAAAATCCATATTTAATTTTTAAAAAATATATATATTTAAATTAATTTAATTTATAATTACAACTTGAATAATTTTAATATTTGAATAAATTTAAATTATTTAATTTATAATTAAAATAAATTATATTTTTTAAAATAAACCTTACATATTATCCAAAAAATTTATTCACGTAATAAATTTTATCAATATTTTAATATGTTGTAATATATATATATATATATATATATATATTATGTCACATGGTTTAACTTTTTCTTTTTTAGGGGCAAATTTTTAATTAGAAAACCCCAAATGCTTAGCGAATTACACGTGTCAGAAGCTTGAACCCCCTTGTGCACGCAAAGATTGGAATTTACAATACCCACGTAAGCAAATCTGGACCATTCACTCCCCAAGTCTAACAATCAACGGTTAAAATAAAATTTTAACCAGTCACCCTTTTTTTTAATAAAAAATCCTTTAATCATTTACTCACACCGTTGCATCTGGGCCGTCCAATGTGCTTTGATTAAAACGGCTCCGACTTGCTCTATAAATTCCAGCAGAAGACTGACTCCGTCAGTTGATTGTCAGGAGAGAGAGAAAGTAAAGGAAAAAATGGAGATGGGTGAGAGAAATAATTAATTTTAGGTTTTGGATTTTCCCTTCAATTTTGCATTGATTAAAAATTTTCCTTCCCTCCCTTCCCTCCCCAATCTCCTCCGTGTCGAATTTTACTGGTTTTTTTTTATCAGTGAATTCAACGTGTATTTTATTTGCCCTTCAAAAAGCTTGGGTTTTTCGTTTTACTCCGGTGAGACGTTTGGTTTTGTTGATTTTCCGGTGAAGCTTTTTTTCTCCATTTCTTGCTTAGTCGGTATAGCAGCTGAAATTACCGTTTGATCCTTTGTTGATCCCGGATTATCCGGATTTCCTCCAGACTGTCATATGTTTGAATCAAAATCAAATCGCCGACTCTAAAAGTTTTGAGTTTTTAGGCGGTTGTTCAGTTCTGCAAATCCCTTTTTTTTTTTTTTTATCTGTTTGAAGTAGAAGTTGTAAAATTTGGGACCCTTGTGGGCTTTTGTTTCGTTGGTGACTTTGGTTGGACAATTTTGAAGTAAGAAAAAAGGGTCATAAACTGTAGACTTAAAAAAAAAACAGTGGTATAGGAAAAGGACCCATTTGATTGGATACATTTCTTTGGGTTTGATTTTTTTTTTTTTTGAAGAAAAATCTATCGAGAAGATAGTTGCTTGAGCTTTATTTGCAAGCTTTTGACTTTAATTATGATCAAAAAATTATTGAATTCAATTAATATCTTTACAAATTTGGATATTGTTTTTTAGTTATCAAACTCAATGGATCATTTCCTAATTTAGTGGTTAACTGCAAGAAAAAGTAACCATTTTGATTTACGTAAAAAAAAGGATTTATGGAGTTTTAAGGTTGCTAAAAAAATGGCAGTTTCTTTTCCTGGTTTTCCATGGTGGTTTTGGAGTGGTGGAAGTAAGGAGAAACAGCCTGTTTCAAATGGGTCTTCTTTGAATTCTCTGAATTCTTCTTCTTCTGATTGGGTGTCGGGGTTGAGAGAGTCTGAAACTGTCAAGTTCCAAACAAAAATAGCCCCAGCGAAGGGAAAGGGAAAGTGGCAAGGTAGTGAAGAGAGGAGTGTAGTTGATGAAGAATGTGATGTTGTGGTGGTTCCATCAGATGTTATGCATTTCTCTGGATACGAATCAGATGGTCCAGAATGGTCCATTGGGTGGGAAGAACCCCACGGTCCTGGCTTTCAAGGTGATGATGATGGTGGCTTTGCTGTGCTGGTTCCTTGTTATAGACCTGGTTGCAAGGAACTTGTAGACGGTCCCAATAACCAGCTCTTAAGTGCAATCAAGAACTTCCCACATGGGTTCTCTTCCGGTAAGAGCTTATTCCCATATAAATTTATGAAATTTCCTTTTTCATTTCTTGATATGTATTTTGATTGATTGTGGATTGACACCTAGAATCAGCTTGTTAATGGAACTATTAAACATTTAACTTTTGTCATTGAATATCATTTTAAGGCTTGTTTATTGGTTTTATGGCATCTTTAAATGCTCCTCTGTCTGATTGTGGATTGACACCTAGAATCAGCTTGTTAATGGAACTATTAAACATTTAACTTTTTTGTCATTGATATCATTTTTAAGGCTTGTTGATTGGTGTTATGGCATCTTTAAATGCTCCTCTGTCTTCGAAGCTAGATGTTTAATTTGTGCAGGTTGAAAGATTATATATCTGTCTTTGTCAAGAAGTTAAGATTGTTCTTCATGCCTTGCTGTGCTTGACTCTATGTTTTTGCTGTCGTTACTTAACATAACTATCACAGTTCTGTACTTTGAAGCTATTGAGAGAAGTATAATTTAACAAGAATTTTGCTTTGTTTTCTAGAAATCAAGTTCCTTAAAACCTGTTTTACAAGGCAACATCCTGAAATAAGTGCTACATCATATTGCATACTTGCATGGTTACTGCATACAATCTTTTGCTGCGTGCATCCCTCAAATTAGAGAAAAGCCTTAATGGAACATACATTTTAATGAACAAGATGAAAGTTTTAGGATATTATGAGGTATCTATCATTTTGAGATAATTGGTAGGTAATCATTGGTACAACTTGTCCGATTGAGTCAGAGAACTTTGCAGAACCAATTTTTAGAGTGGACTATTATTGCTGCCATTTTGGCACCGTTCTTTTTCCAACCTAGTTGTTGCATTCTAAGCTAGCCTTTCTAGTTTTAGGCAGCAATTCATATTGGACCATAGTTCTGATTCAGAAGAAACTTGAGTTTGATCAACACTATAGTTTTATTACTTTATGATTCAGCTTGTGTATTCTTTTATATGTTTATCAGGTACTTCATGGTAGCATGCCTCTGGACAATATTGCAAATATTGTCAATCACAACTCACAATTAACTGTCTGTGTTAATAGCTTTCTATACCATGGGATGAAGCTTTGGATTTATCATCTTATCTCTTTAACTCTGTCGAATTCCGTAATGCAGTTCTTACTTGTGACATGTGAGATGGGTGTTTCTGATCTTTTAAAAGATGTTTATACATGTTCTTTTGACAGAAAATGCTGCAATGGGTGTTTGTCACCATTAACTTTGTTGCTCTTTTACATGGGCCTGTGATTTTTCATGCCTAGTAACTTTTTCTTTGCATTTTGGTTAAATGTGCAGAGGGAAGCAACTCTGTGCAGCAGTGGTTTTCTTCTCTTCAGAACATCTGAAGGGCTACAAGTGGCTGGCCGAGTGACTGTAGATGAAGTGTCCTTACATATTTCAGTCGGGTGTACTATTTAAGAAGTAATCTTATTATAGTATGAGAGAATAATGTAAAAAAAAGTGGCAGGTACTGGTAGAGATGAGGATCTGCATCGGTTCTAGTAGAATCAGAGGATTAACATCTATGGAGATTGGAGATGCACATTGGATGTATATTTTCTGCTTCAAGATGACACGGGAGAACACACATGTTTCCAGGATGTCACTCTGTTTTGGTATTTGATCCATCCTGATTACATGCAGTTGAACTGATCTGTGGAAACACTAAAATATGGTGGACAACTCTTTTTTGTTCTGTAAATAGTATTACTGTGAATATGCAAGAAATGATCTTTGCTTTCATCTCACTGCTACTGTGAATAATTTTGATCTTTCCCCGAGTAATCTACCATCTTATCAATTTTGTATATATATTTTTTCTCTACTGGGAGTAAATTTCTTTTATATTGTGCTTCTTTCTTATATCCCAGCAGCTTGTGGTTGATAATAGCTAAATTAATGTTTCAACCTCCTCCCCAGTTGCAAGAATTTGTCTCACTTAAATCTCTGTTTACACAACAACATTCCATTTATGGCCTGCCTTTCTCCTTGAGTTGAGAATGAGAAAAAGGAGAGTTCTTGAGCATTGCAAATAGGTGTCACTTCACACTTTTGACATAAAAATATTGCTCAAAGTTTCCTCTGTTGCTGCCCCGGGGGGGGGATCCTCAGAGTTGCTCTCCTGCCTCTTTTTCTCCCTCAACAGCACCCTCAAGCTGTGAATGTGGTCCATATGGTTCTGTGGTTGCGATCAGTTGCAACAATTAACAAATGAGTCCTCTAATTTCATACCATCATTAAAAGAAAAAACACTGCGAATGGATGTGTTGTCCTTGGCTCCTTTAACTAAGTGAGGCTTGACTCTGGACCACTTGAGTTGCGGTTGTTCGATGTTCAAATCGTGCAGTGATGAAATCAATTCTTGCTGCAGCTTGCTGTGATCACACGAAGATGATGTAGTTTTTGCAATAAAGCTTAAAAAAAGGTTCTTGAGTGGCGTGCATTATATGCTAAGCTTGCAAATTTTCCCCTTTACCATTCCATGTCTAACCCCACATAACAATGACGCCCAGTGGCTTTTACCTCAACCAATAATTCAAGTAATAATCGTTGATGAAGTCAAGTGTTCTCCAGCATGACTTTGTCTGGAATTAAAAACTGGTTTAAGGGTTGCCTTGCCTGTCAAGGCCCTCCTAGCCAGTCTCATTTCTTCTCATCTTTTGAGCAGTCATGCATGCAAGCCATGATTCTAATTATTGTTGAAAAATTGGAGGTTGATCCTGCCAACCAAGCCTGCCAACATTTTATTGTTCAAGTTAAACTTTGAAGATTCCAACATCTTTTCCTTCTTAAAACCCTTTTTTTTTTTCAGTTGAAATATAATTCCCTTTTGTTTGGAAAATGGAGGCAGCTGAAAATGTCACAATTTTCCTTTTTTTGGTCGTAAAAATGGATAATGAAATAATTAGACTTTCGTCGACAATCACATAGACTGTTAATAAAATATTAAAATTTTATTTTTTATTATCAAAATTCAAATTCTAACAATTTTAATTAAAAAAAAAAAAAAAACTGAACTTTCAACCCTTGATTCCATTCTCTTTTCAAGAGAATTCGCTTATATTATAAACCTCTAGATAAGGCAAGAATGTGACATTGTTCTAGTTTTGAAGATCCAAAATTAGTGAACATTAATTGTTATCCATTGTCACAATCAAAATTCTCCTCAACAAGTTTTGCATTCATTCGTCTTAAGTAACCAAAAGTTGAATTATAACTCAAACTTTGTATAACCAATCATCCTTATTGATTTTGCAGTAGTTAGGGATTCTTTAATTGTTCTAATAGTTCAACATCTCTACCATGAATACATGTAGTTCAGTTTCTTTCCTTTCTTGAAAGGGCAACCTGTCTCAAAGTTCTTTTTTTTTTTTTTTATGTGTTCAAAATCCAGGCCTGTCATTACTTATCTTATTGATAAGCCACCTAACTTTGATCTTCAAACACTCTCTATTAAAATTTAAAAGCCTCCTTTATTTTTTTTAAGAAAAAAAAAAAACTTTTATTTCTAATAAAATTGGTTGTTTTCCAACACTTCTGGAAACTTTATTATTATAATAACTTAAATGAAAATAGAAAAAGTCGGTTAAAGCCTTGAAGGCTTAAAGGGGGTAAACCTCAAGCGAAAAAGTAGGGTAACCTGAACACCCTGGTAACAGACAAGATGCCACGTGGAGATATAGTACTGGCTGAAACTTTTGAACTGTTTTTTTTTTTAAGGTACCTTGCCGCTTTCATGGCTTATTTATTACAAAGAAATTGCCGCAACAATATATATTCGGGCGAAGATTGCTCACCTCTATGGTCCCAAAACAAAAACAAAAAACATAGATTTTGTTGTTGCACGTTTCTTCGTTTGTTTTTTTTGTTTCTCTTCCTTCTCTTATTCCTTGTTGTTTCCATGTCTTCTCTTTCTTTTATGGAGAATCAAAGTTGAAGAGACAGAGGATATAGAGTTTTGCATTCTTGACAGGAACAAAGAAGAGAGTTTTTTTTTTGGCATGATTTTGGTATTGCAAGAGAGAAGAAAAGGAAGATAAAAGTTTTAGGGGTTTGAAAACATGTTGCAAAGAGCTGCTAGCAATGCATATTCATGGTGGTGGGCTAGTCATATCAGAACAAAACAGTCAAAATGGATGGAACAACACCTTCAAGGTCGTATTTATATGTTTTTCCTTTATGTTGAAAGCATAATAATTTCTGGGTTTTGGGTGCTTTTTTATGACTCTCTTTGCTTATCCCATTTGAATGGAATTTTTAATATGTGAATGAAAGCTGAAAATTTGGGTATGGTTTTTCAGTTTTTTCTGATAATTTTGATGATAAATTTTGATAGAAACAGTAACTTGTAAATGCAGTCACATAGATAGAATTTCATTATGACCCAGCATCTTCATTGAATATTCTTTTTTGTATAATATTATTTATTTTCTTTAACAATTAAATGAAGCAATCTCCAAGAACAGTCAGAACAATCTGGTTGTTGTACAATCTTATATATTTATTTTAAAGTCCATGACTCTATGTTTCTGATAATTAAAATTTTTAATTTCTAAAATTATATTTATGAATTAGTTTAGATCAATTGCAAGGATTTAATTTACTCAGTTCATCATCTACCTAAGATGAAATTTTGATCCAATTTCTATTTCCGTATTATTGAAAGGAAAATCTATAAAAGGGATAAAATCCATCCAATAAACCTTTTTTTTTTTTAATAAATGAGGGCAGTGCATAGAAATAAGAGAAGGGTTGCAAGTGTTAGGATTCGAACTCCAAACTTGTTGGATGGCACCTCTTAAGGGTATGGATGCATGAATGAACTAAACTAAGCTCTAGATATTTATGAAGATGGTGGTAAACTTACCTATGGTTAGCTTTGAAATACATTTTTTTGGTCAATAAAAGATAGCTTTGAAATACTCAAGCTGCATCTGTATGATTGGGAAAATGTCTAAGAAAGTACAATGGGGAATTGCAGATATGGAGGAAAAAGTAGCGAATGTGCTTAAACTCATTCAAGAAGATGGAGACTCCTTTGCCAGGAGAGCAGAAATGTACTATAAAAAGAGGCCAGAACTGATACATTTTGTGGAAGAATCTTACAGAGCTTACCGTGCCTTAGCTGAACGGTATGATCACATATCAAAAGAGCTACAAAATGCAAACAACACAATTGCTTCTGTTTGTCCAGAGCAAGTCCAGTTTGCAATGGGTGATGAAGATGAATATGGCTCACCGAGATTCCCAAAGAAGTTTTCAGAAAACTCGAAAGGCAATAGCCCCAAGGTTCCAGAGCTTCCTGTCAAGGATTTGGAGGGTTTAATAAAATCAGCCACGAAGAAAATGCAACATAAGAAATCAACAAAAGCCACAATGACTGCAGTTCCTAAATCTGGTTTGAACAAGGCTGAGGGACTTGAGGAGATTGACCGGCTTCAGAAACGAATCCTGGCGTTTCAGACTGAAAAAGAGTTCATTAAGAGCTCTTATGAGAGTGGGATGGCAAAGTACTGGGAAATAGATAATGAGATAAAAGAAATGCAAGAGAAAGTTTGCAGTTTGGAAGATGAATTTGGTGAAGTTCGATTCATTGAAGATGATGAGGCTCGAAATGTGATGGCAGCAACAGCTCTAAAATCATGCAAAGAGACATTGGCTCAGCTGCAAGAGAAACAGGAGAGATCAGTCATGGAAGCAGAAGTAGAGCAGAAAAGGATCAAGGATGCCAGTAAGAAGTTGGACTCTCTCAAGAACAAGTTTCTTTTAAACCAAGTGAGTCAAGAAAAACCATCTGCTGGGGATGAATCCGTAATAGCAGTAGAAAAGTCTAAAAGGTTAGAACAAGTAAGTGATACTACCCAAAAGAGAAAGGACATGGAGTCCTTAAGGAATAAGATAAAGGAGCACTTTGAGGTTAGCCTTGGTGAATCTTTGACTATGACAGAAATGGCGGAGAAAATTGATGAACTTGTGAACAAGGTGATCCACTTAGAAACTGCAGTCTCATCCCAGACAGCTCTTATCCTGAGACTTAGAACAGAGATTGATGAGCTTCAAGCCCAGATTCTGACTTTGGAAGCTGATAAGGCCACACTGGTTGATGGAAAAAATGATTTAAGGAACAAGCTAAGGGAGATGGAGGAGAAGTTGCATGGGATTCAGGATTTGAACCAAAGCGTTGAAGACCAAAACAACAATCTCCAAACTCATTTCACTGAAGCACATTGTAATCTTGATCACCTTTCCGAGAAAGTGCAAACTGTAAAGCCAGATGAAGAGCTTGAAAGAGAGAAGAGCTCTTCTTTGGAAGTCAAATCCTCAAAGGAGATCACAGATCTCAATGAGAAGCCGAAGAAGGTCAAAGCAGGCAAGGAATTTGAGGTAACTGATGCATCAGAAAGAGAGAAGTCTCCAGACGAAGTCAAATCCCAAAAGGAATCTGAAGAGCAAGAGATCAGAAGTACGGATCCAAGTGATAGCTGCAAAAATTTGCAGTGTGCAAAACCAGAAGAGATGGTTGTAGCCTCAGGTTCTTTACAAAAAGAGGAGGACTATCTGGTTAAAGTCGAATCACCAAAAAAGTCAGAAGAAAAAGGAGAAAAACTTGATGGTTTTCCAAAGGGTGGGGATGTGAAATTAGGAGGGAGGGAGGATCCAGAAGAACATGACTCTGTTACAACTTCTACAAATGGAGGCGTTAGCCATGAAACTTATAAACCTTCAGAGAATTGTGAAGACCTGATAGCAGAGGACAAAGTTGATCAGCAAACTTCGTCACAGATAGCGGATATTCTTGCCAAGGTTGAATCAAAAGAACAGGAAAGAGGGCAACAGGATGAGCCAGACTGGAAGCAGTTGTTCTTGAAAGGTATGGAAGACAGAGAGAAGCATCTACTGATGGAATATACTACAATGTTTCGGAGCTACATGGACACCAAGAAGAAGCTCATGGAAGTAGAGACAAATAACCAGAACAGCCTGTTTGAGATAACATTGCAGCTAAAGGAACTGAAGAGCAATAATACTATGAAAGATGAAGAGATTAGATCCTTACGACAGAAACTAAGCCTTCTCCAAGCAGGTCTTGGTGAAAACAACAATACTGATCAATATGTTGAACCTAGAGTAAGTTCAGAGAAATCAATAGTGACTGAAACCGAAACAACTGCGTCATCAGAGAAAGTGAAAGAAGACATCAGAGTGATGCTAATTAACCACTGTCAAACTACTTCAGCAATTGAAGAAAAGTTCCGGATAAACATTGATGAATTGCTCGAAGAGAACTTGGATTTCTGGTTTAGATTTAGCACTGCCTTGCATGAGGTAAAGAAATTTGAAACTGGAGTGAAAGATTTAGATGCTGAGGTATCAAAACTTGAGGAAAGACAGAACCAAGGTGGATGTAGCTCTGCAAAATATTCACTAAAATCAGATGCACGGCCATTATACAAACATCTGAGAGAAGTGCAGAATGAATTGACTGTCTGGGTGGAAAAAAGTTTATTACTAAGAGAAGAACTGAAGAACCGATTTTCATCTTTGTGTGACATTCAAGAAGAAATAACAAAGGCTTTGAATGCAAGTGCTGAAGACAATGACTTCAAGTTCACAAGTTACCAAGCAGCAAAATTGCAAGGTGAGATTTTGAAACATGAAACAAGAGAATAATAAGTTGCAGATGAACCTGCAAGCCGGTTTAGATCTTGTAATAACACTACAGCTTGAAGTTGAGAGGACTCTGGCAAAGTTGACTGAAGATTGGGGACTTTCTGGATCTTCTGGATCCAAAAGCCGTCAAAGTAGCCAACCGCAAAACTCAGATAGTCGGTCTGGAGTTCCGTTGAGTTCATTTATCTTTGGTGTCAAACCAAAGAAGCAAAGGACATCCATTTTTTCCTGTGTACACCCTGCACTGTATCGGAAGTACAATGGTTTACGATCAGGACGTAGTAGCAGCAGGTGAACTGATTGACATGTTTTCTGTTGGCTGTAGATGTTTAATAGTCTGTAATTGTCAACATGAGAGGACTATTTTGCTTGTATGTATTCTTCATTCTCATTCACCAGAAGCTTTAGCAAAATTGCCTCATTTTTGAGGTCCCTCTTGTTTCCATTCAACATACAATAAATATCAGGTTGATGATCTCAGACATTCAAGTTCTTTTCTTCACCAACAACAGAGAAACATTGGTGACAAAATCAGAGTCTAACCATGTAATGATTTCCCCATTCTTCTTCATTTTCAACTTTTACTTCTTCATATGCTTTCATTTCGTTTCTTTTGGTGAACTGCCGAAAATATTGCTTATGCTTTTCTTCTTTCTGCGCTTGCCCTCTTTTCAGAGGAACCTTCAAATAGGAAACAGCGTGTGCTTGTTACTCTTCACCCCTTGTGATTAATGGCCCATGCGATACGTCATCAAGCCATCAAATTTCTAATAAAGACTGCGTTACTGCTAATCAACTTTCTTTGTTCTGCTGAAAATTTGCTGATGGAGATATTGACACTCACATATAGCATTATAGAGAAAAAAAACCAAAGGAGTATATTTATTAGCTGCTGAATATAGGGCAAGAAATTCAAATCTTTAAAGATGTTACTGGAAAACAGCTATTTTTTATATCATTAAAGTTTATAGCGCTGTACAGCGGCAGATAATATGCATTTCCAGCAGTCTTAGATGTCTTATACACACGTCTCTTTTAGATCAGCAAATGAAACCTCGGATACAATCCTGGCTCCCCTTCCCTTGGCCATGTATAGACCTATGTGATGCATAAGATCCTGCCATTGGAAAATTTTCAAAGAGGTTTTATCAATAAGCAAACAAGCATGTTGATTTTTTGTTTTTTTTTTTTTTACATTTCATCTTGTTATTTAAAAGCAAAAATTATTGTGGCTGTCACCATTTAACTGTCTCATTGCCTCTATCTGGTTATGCTAAAGGTGGCAGTCAATGAGTAATAGGTACACGTGGTTTGAATGACTACAGTAATATGGGAAAATGTCTAGACAATTAAGATCTCTATGTTTATGCACATTTTTTGGTAGTTAAGTCTGTTTAGGGCATTTCACTCTCTTGGGTGTAGTTCTGTGAAATATTCTCTCATTTCAAAACACTTGGTTTGTTAAATTGCATTATCGATATCCAACTCACACTTTTCACCTTGTCTGCCTGAAACTAATGCTAGCAAGCAACATTTTAGAAGACTCTTTCTTAGTTACACCTCACAAATTCATCCTCAACTACAGAGTGTTAATGCTAATTAAGCTCAAACGGAAATTCAACACTTCTCATAAAATACTTTCTTGGTACCCTCTCAACAGTACCAATTAATCATCCCAATTTCCAATGCTCAGCCTAATAGTTATGTTCATACAAACATCTGTAGTAAATTAGTTTCAGATTATGTACAACTTTGGGCTGAAGGTATGACGAAAATTCAATGTCCAATTTAATAACCAAAATGATCTAACTTCAGGAGTTACTGCCATCAAGGAACGAATAGGTAGTTTGAATCAAAAGCAAAATATCAGCTATCAGTTTGTGAGAAAATTTATTAGCAGCAATGCTTTAAAATGATTTATAGTAAAAGAAACAATATAAACAGATCAAATGGTTCTTTCAAGCCAACTAGTTTGTGGTTCTTATAAAAAACCAGAAGAACTGGGTGATTAAGATACAAGTGAAACTCAAAAGATAGAGTCATGTCATAAAGATAATTCTGTAATCAATTGCTTGCCTAATCCTAAGAAATATGATGTTGGCAGAGTTTTCATTACTGATTCAAGTTCATATCTGAAGAAAGAAATTTTCATCCTATCCACCATGCAAGAGTGCTGTTGTTATTGATTACTATTTATTTTCTCTACTTTCTAAGACATGGACTGCATTGGCTTTCAGCGGAAATGTTTATCAGACAAAGCAATTCAAAATGAAAGCGATTGTCTATGATAATCTAGAAACCTTATTATCTATGTCTATTATTAAAGTACCTGAGGATGAGCCAAAGCGCCATCAATATTTTTGGCAACATGAACTGGAAGATCAAAAGTTGCACACGCACTGGAGTACACATTCACATCCTCAAGAGGGGTAAGCATGCGACGATTTCTGGCAGACAGAGTGGAACATACAAAATCCAGTACACATATATCCGTGCATATACCCACAACCAGTATCTTCAAAATCCAAAAAAAGATAGGTGAGATTAGACAAAAAACCTTAATATAATAGCCATATATTAAGTCTTTTCATATATAACAATGCAAAGAACAATCAAAACTGAACTGCCTCTTTTTGTGATCGTTAGAAAATACTTACAGCTTTAATCTGATTATTCTTGATCCAATCTACAAACAAATTGGAACCATCTTTCTCAATTGAACCAAGGAAACCATCAATGCAATCTTTGCATTTAAGTGTTGCATTCGGCTCATTCTCTAGCCACTGGAGAGCTACAATTCATAAACATGCATGCCATTAAATTCATATAACGAAAAGGAAGAAATAAATAAGAATAATAATAATAAGAATAACAGGTATGTTGGTGGCTTCGGATTTTGGTTGTAGAAATATAATCATTGAATCTGATTCAATGTTAACTGTTCAGAAAATCTTGCAATCACTTAATGACAAAGACTTGCTCCATCAATTCATGATTGCCAAAGTTTGATGAGAAGGGATTGGATTGTTCTTTGAAACATGTACATAGAGAAGCGAATTTCTGTGCCGATTTTTTAGCTGGCTTGGCTCAAGACAGGGAATTTGGAATTCAGTTGCTTCATTCTCATCCAGATGGTTTACTTAAGTTTTTACAAGATGATCTTATAAATTTGTCTAGGTCACGTGCCTGTGTAGTGTAAAATGGGCAACCACTCTTTAGTACAAAAAAAAAAAGTAGTCATAAAGTACCAGTAACCAATCTAGATTCATCAGTTCCAGCAATGCAATGAGGAGGATATGGAGGCTCGGGAATATCAGGATGATGGGAATCAAGAAAAGCAAAAACAGGCAATTTTTTCTCACAGAATAGCCTGGCTAGTCTCACAGATTCTTCAACCATATCAGATATTTGTTTATCAGGTTGCGTTGGAGCCTGTAGAAAAAAATAAGAACCCAGATCTGAGATTACCATTAGTCCAAAATATAACAGAAAATTTTAATTTTGTTTATTACAAGCATTCAAAAACTATATGCTGTTTGAGATTTATGGCTTGGCAGCAATGAAAAAAGTGTATTTTGAGAAAAAAAAAGCTTGTTAAAATTACCAGATTTCCAGCTCCAACGGTGCAGAAGCCATTAACAACGTCAACAATAACAAGACCAGTCTTAACATCTTGAGAAAGAACCAAAGAGCCTTCTTCCACAGGAAGGTCCTTCTTCAACAAATCAATGGTCGTTGACACCATGTTCCTCTGTAGTATCCTTTGCTTAACAAACCCAAAAGAGACGATAAACCGAAACAGAGCAGAGCCAAAATAAAGGAAATAGAATATTGGTTGAATGGACGTGCTCACTTTTGTTTGTTTTTGAGCATTTCAAAGACGGCATTCAAATGTCAAACCGATTTCGATGAGCACCGTTTAAAAAAATTAGTTCTCTCAGATTTTTATCAGATTCCTTTGACTTTCCACTTTGAATTTTGGGATTTTTTGTGTGGGTCCCAAGTTTGGAAGAAAAGACAGACAAAACAAATACAGTCACATAAAAACTGAGATCCCATTTGTCGGCTTTTTGGCCACTGATGTCTACTCCAATCGATGGACTTACCTGGGATTCGTGATAATCTAGTGAAGGCTGATGTAATTCATGATGATAAAAAAATGGACCAACATTTAATTGCATCAATTATTGATTTTATAATTTGTTTTAAAGCTAAAAAACTTCATTTAGCATTAATTTGAACAAATTTCAGCTCAATTTTGAGTTATTGTATAATGAGGAGTATTGGATAATCAACTTGATTATTTGTGAAAATGTTTAAGCACACTTGGGCTTAATTGGGACATGCCTCTATTTAAGCTGTAATAAAGTTATGCATGTATTGGATTTTATTATGTGTTAGATCGTGTCGGTCTAACAAAAATTTAGCATATGTATTATTTTAATATATTTAAATAGATTATATTTGTTTTTATTTAATTATGTAATTTTTTATTTTTGAACAAATTTTGTAATTTTATTACGAAATCTAATAGAATATTTTAAGAGTATACATGATATCTTCTTTTTTTATTTATTTATATTAATATCTCTTAGAATTTAAGAATTATTATTAAGGCTTATTATATAAATGCCAATAATTTGTAATAACCACATCATCTAATGAATTATTAATTTTAGATTCCTTGCATTTTCTCATAGTTTTATCAAAATAAATTGTTGTTTTGTGATGAATAACTCCATATTCTTGTCACCTTTTTTTTTTTTAAATAGTGTGGCTTGTCATTCTTATTTAATTAGTTGTAACGTGTTAATTTATCGATTAATTAAATTTAATTAATCTTGTATTTTGGCTTTTTTTTTTTTTAAATAGAAATTTTACAAACTATTTTTAGGTTCACAGGCGTATCAATCTTGTTCCCTATTTATGAAGTGGGATTGATAGGATTTGATTTCACAATATTGTCGTTGTTGATGTGTTGTTGGATGTTGATTGATGGTTTTGTTGAATTTTATTTTGAATCGGTTCCAATAATTCATTTCTTCTCTTATATCTTTCTTCCCCAGGAAAAATGGAGCCAAAAATAGTGAAAATCTTGACTGTATGTTCCAAAGAGCTGCAGTAAAAGAAACATATTATATGCAAAATTGTCTGAAATGATTTTACTTGTATGCTTTGGCTAGCAATGTTACTTGGTCATAGGAAAAGCAATAATGAATGAAGAAATCCGAATATCATATCTTTGTATCTGCAGAAGGAGGTGTTTTTACTTCAACAAGGTAAATTTGATCCTTTATTCAGCCATTCTTGGATGAGGAGTGTGATTTGGGGTCAGGAATTTGTGCTTAAGACTCAAATTTGTCTTGGGAGATGTGTCATGCCCCATCTTCAGCCGTTCCTCTATGGCTTCCAATTCATACGAAAAATCATCTGCTGCTACATGTGGATTTTTCATCACTTCCTGCTCCCGACGACCAGCTCGAACATATCAAAAAATCACCAAACATCATGGTTAGAGTAGAATTTTGAGAGATGTTGGATGTGACATGGAGACCAACCTGGAGTACGGGGCATAGGAAAAACCCTGGTACGTCAATTGAGTTTTCTATGTTTATATTTTCATTAGTCACCACTTCAAATCCTCCTTTAGCCATCAGATCATCAGCTTTCTTTTTCAGCTCATCTAGCCCTTTCCATCATAGTTGCAATCGGCAAATCTATGCTGAGCCCAGGATTAGCAGACAAGCATATCATGGATAACCCTGCAAGTTCCATTGTCAAATCCACAGGCCATTTCCCTGCCTTCTCATCCAAAACCTGAACAAAGTCCGCTCGGTCCACTGTCATTGCATCTTTAATCAGCAAGCCCAATTCTACCCAGTTAACATACGCATCAATAAAATCCCAAAAGCCCAAATATCTGATCTCAGATCATGGTGCTGACTGCTGAGTCAAGCCATAGCCACTAATCTTTGCAACAGGATCAAGGTCCAGAAGGATGTTGGACATGGTGAGTTGACCATGAACAATGGGCCTAGGCTCAGAGGATTGTAGTAAACCCAAGGCCCGGCAAACCTCATCATCTCGGAGCAGAATCCCATCATACCAACCAAATGCGGATGCAAGATGTCGTTGAGAAGCCTCACCTACAAAAAAAGAGACAATTCACTGTTTTATTTAAACCTAATAATTTTGAATAAAATATGATGATATAATATAAAAATGATATGAAAAAATATATAATATAATTTAAAATTTTAATAAAAATTATATATAAATTAATAAACATAAAAAATGATATATTTCACATATCAGACATGAATTTGACACATATTTATTATCATATGAATATAATATAAATTATTAAATTATTAAATCTAATTTTTTTAGATTATTTAAAAAATTTTAAGTTAGTCCTTTTTTAAAATGAAATGTGATTATCAATTAAATCAGGCCTAGCAAATATAAGCAAAACTAGAATAAATCTTACCTTTGCTTAGAAAATCTTCTTGAGAAAATCCATTAACAGAATTGAGCCTCTTGATTGCAATTGTTGAATGATTGATTCGTCCTCGAGACCATTGGAGGAGAGAGTCTACGTTTTAGACCACGTGCAATTCATCTTTTCAATTAAATAGATAAGTTTCAACTTCCAAATCAATATCAAACTATTCATATTGTTAAGGTATCATACGGTTTATGTTAAATTTTAGATTTTTTGTATTCTTATATTAAAATTTTGTATTTTCATTTATTATTAATTTATTTTAAATTTGATACTTAATATTGAAACTCAAATTTTGTTACGTGTTCTTCTTTTTTTTTTTTTTAATACTTCTATTGAATTAGTTACGTGATATTTTTTTTGAAGCATATTAAAATGTTATTATTTTATATTTATTGAATTTTAAATTTTATGTGTTGTGTGAAATGGTTCCAAGTTGCTTTGGATACTTCGCAGGGAAAGTGAAAAATTAAAAAATTAAAAAGAAATAAAAATTATTATCTTTTTGAATTAAGTAGCTCCATTGTTACAGCTTAGTTATCAGGTTTACAGCTAAATTATGTTTGTTACCAATAAAATTTTTATATTTGTTATTAGTATTTTTTTTAATAATTTTTATTATTAGTATTTTAAGTATAGTAGGATGTAATAAAAAGATAAGGTTAACATTGAAAACATGATTATGATAATATTGTCGGGGGCAGAGAATGCACGTGCGTCACCGAAATCATCGACAATATATTTGAACTAAAAGATGCTGTGCACGTGCTTTTCAGTCAATGGTCAAAATAAGTGATTTTACACCGGTTTTTGGACCTCATTATTAAAAAAAAAACAAGGTAACAACTATGATAACGATACTCTGAAAGGAATCTAAGGTAGTGTTTTTTATTCAGAAAATAATTTTTTTAATTTTTTTTTTAATAAAAAATGAGTGAAATTATTTTTGATAATTAAAAATAAAAATAAATTTTTAGAAAATAAAAATAAAAATGGATTAAAATATGAAAAAAAAAAAAGATGTTTTCAATTATAAAATTAAAAAATACATTACTTTTTTTCTTATGTTTTATAAGTTATCATATTTAAATACTTTTTAATGTCATTAATTAATAAATCTATATTATATCTATTATTAGATAATATTAATAGTAATATCATTGAATATTTTATTTATTTATTTTTACATTTAAAAAAAAATTATTTTCGCTTAACAAAAACATTTTTTATAAAAAAATTTAAAAATGAAAATAAAAAATAAAAACAAAAACATTTTCTTAAACCAAACCGAGTCTAAGCCCTTCATCAACATCACTATTTCAAAAAAGTCTTAGGAAAGGAAAAAAATAATTGGTCTAAAAATTTAAAATTTAAAATTATAAAATATTATTTTTTAATAATAAATATATAAATTAATTAAGTTAAATTTAAAATTCATTTTTAATTATAATTCTAAGCAATATCATGTGATATTTTAAGATCATTTTAGATATAATAACTTTTAGATGATTGTGGTACTGGTATAGTTGTAAACATATGAAATCTATATTATCTGTTTATGTATTTATAATTTAAGGTCATATTTGATATACAAAATTATGATAAGATAGGATAATATAATATTATAAATAATATTAGATTAAATAATATCATATTATCTTATATTTGATATGTGTAAGGATTATGATAAAATAATTTATTTATTAATCAAAATTATTCTTCCTTAAAGTTTATACTATTTAAATTATTAATGGAATTTTTAATGATGTATTAAAATAATTAAGTTTAATCTCATGAATTAAAAATAATGTTATTTGTTTTGAAAGGATTAAATCATCCTATACTAAGAAGATGATAATTTTTTTTATAATCATATCCCTTTCTTTATATACAAATCAAATATAATATAAAATAATTATCATATTATCATATTCATCATCTTATGCATCAAATATGATTTAAATACATTAATTATTTATCATAGTATTGATCTTTAGTTAATTAATGACACCTAAGTTATTATAATTTAAGTATATTTAAGGTCAGTTTGGTTCGAGTGGAACTTTTATAAGTGTTATTGAAGTAGTGCTATTCTAAAAGTGCTATAAAGATAGCTAAAATAACGTTTGGCAAACTTAATATAGAAGTATCTTAGAATATAAAAAAATATTTAATAATATTTAATATGTTTTTAATAAAAAAAAATAGTTAACTTTATTAAATTAAATCATAAGCTTTTAGGTGAAAAAATAAATAAAATAAAGATTTGATTTTGTTAATTATATTAAAAACAAATAAATTAAATTGAAAATTAGACAAAAATAAAGTATAAAATAATATAATCATCCTTATAATTTTGTGAGCTATTGAAAAAAAAAAAAAGTGAGAATGTAAAAATTTTCATTAAAAACTTGTTATTCAAATTAGTAAT